GAAGATCAATGGAAAATTTCTGCAACGGCATGGCATCGTGAACCGGAGACCTTTAAGGTAAAACTAGGTGCAAGTCACCGTGATCACTCAAAACGCCTTCATTTAATTGGGTATGCAATGTCGTCTCCAGGGAGTTCAAACAGTTGCTCGAGGCAAGGAGCGGCGCCCAATACACCTGTTAGACTGCTACGATCTAAGCCTCATATAGTCACTGGATCAGCTCGAAATTTCTTTATCTCGTCAGATGTATCAATTTGAACCCTTCAGAGGGTCGAAAAAGTTGCTTGAAGTCAGTGATCGAACTTCATCGGACAGAGTATGCGACAAATGAACCTGAAAATAAGGGGCGTCGGCCAAATAAAATGCCTAGAAAACTGGTGCGGCTTTCACTTCTTTGCATCCCTGCTTCTGAAGTTTGTATATGGCTCGACAAAAAATGAAAAGTATCTCGGTAAAATCAGGCTCGCCGGTCAAAAAAAAAAACCCCGGAAATTTTGGAAAGAAGCTAGAACACTGCTTTGTGAATAAATCTTGAATTTGCCATCTTCCACTCGCCTCAGATGTGGGCAGAAAAATGCATATTCTTGAGAGAGATCATCATCGGAATCATAAAAAATAAAATAAAAAAAAATTGTTAAATTGTAAAAACAGTGCCATGCTGGTATAGCTCAATGATATCTCAACATTCTTGTAGTACCAAGTACCTTCCTAACCATTCCAAAATAAATCAAGTTCATAGAATAAGTATCTACTCAAGAACAGTACCATTTACGCTCACTAGCTGTAGGATTGAGCATTCTGTGCAATGCAACACGACAAATACAGAATGTTCTGGTTACTTACAGCAAACGTGCGATTCCATACAAATATCAAACATATTCAGGAGTAAGCCTTACGTAAGGCAATTTTCAAAAGCCAATTTGACTCGCATCGATTTGAAGAAATTTGAATTTACGTTGTTTCTAATGTTAACTACAGACATAATGTCAACTTCTGTTGTATGAGTCAGTTTTAGAAATTTCCAATATTTATCATCAACGTCTTATGAGTGACGCGGAAATACGTGATGGACGTTTAATTTTTGTCCTGTCTAGTGGTCTAATTGAGACCGCATGCTTACCACAGAATGACGATTTTAAACGATTTGAAAAGCTGACTAAATTCAGTAAATTTCAGTGGCGTGGCGTGCTTTGCGATCTATCGATATCTCCCCTTTTGAAGCTGTGGTAAATAATCGATTATTTAGGTGTTCGCTGCGAACACCGTGTTTATCGATACTTTTCTATAGGTTTAAATGGCCGATCAATCTATATATCGCAAAGCACGCCACGCCACTGGTAAATTTGAATGCTGGCTGGCGGTTTGCGAGTACCTGATAATATCCGAGATGAGGTGTGGCTGAGACAGGACGCTTGAGATTATTCAACGAGCTTCGAGATGAATACCTGCTCAAAGCATGATTACTTCGCGGTCTTTCTTGTAAATTGATCTGTAGGTAGAGAAAGTATGAGATCATCAAGTATGAAATTTGATCATCGGAACAAGAAAACGAAAGAAAAAGAGGAAAAAATAATGAAAAAAATAGAAAATAGAAAAAAATGAAATATTTTTTTTTTATTAAAACAAATTAAATACACTTATACATTGTTATGAACGGCACCGATTATTTTACAGAATAGAGTGACGATTACTGCGGCCATAAAATGCGTATCTCCCATTGCGACGTTGGAAATATCAGCTCATGTTTGATTTTTTTTAATAAAAAAAGGATTCTTAGTGCATGGGTGTCTAGGTTTCAAATACGGTCCACAGTTTAAAAAAATTGGCGGCGAAGATTTGACTCAACTCAAAATTAATTAATTTTGTCCTGTTTTAGCTGTGAATCGTTATCTACGCGGACTTCCCAAACAGCGCAAAGTTGCAACGAATTGCAATTACATAGTAAAATTATTGCCGTCGTATCGGAGTGTCGTGTAATTATGTTGTCTATTCCCCGACTCGAAGGGGCTCCTCTCATTGAAATTTATTGCAATAAAAGAAAAATTAGTTAAAATTTGTTTTGCATTGCAATATGCCCACTTTCTGACACTTGGAAGTCGATTTGGTGATTTTTCAAAATTTGAAATTTACCGATCAAATGATGTAAAAATATTACAATTTCGTGGTGAAAGAAATTGCCATTTTATTGCATTGAATTGCAACATTATTCCAATACTTTTGTTGTACTGTGCTACTTAGGTGATCGGAGCACTCTTTAAAAGCTATGTAATCAACACCTCTTAGAGTGAAAACTTTCTTGTGACACAAAAAGATCAATGTGGAAATAGGTATTCATTATTTACAGGCAAAAATAAAAAGTCTTCCTTTAGTTCCTCTTGTTTTAAAACTCCCTCCCAACCTATTCACTTTGGAATTGATTAATCTCCGTAGATGAAAAAATTTGAGCTACTCTCGATCTATATGCAAGATTAATTTTCCTACATCCCACTCGCATGAAAAAATCTATTTCTGAAGTAATTTTTAAATTGAGGCCGGCAAGTCCATCTGATGAGAGATTCTTTACTTTTAACAAACTCATCAATTTCGTACAAAAAAAGTATAAAAAAATTCTCGAGAGCATGAATCCTAACCTTCATACTTTTCAGGGCATAGGTAAATAAAAGACAACGAAAGTACGTAGATACCTGAGATCCTGTCAACTTAAGCTCAAGCGGTGCGTCACGGGTCTTGTCTGCGGATCTCCTAGCTTTATCCACTTTGGCCATCCTGCACTTTGCAACAATGTTCAAACTTCTTCCACCCCAACTCACATTTTCGGAGGAAAAATTCAAAGGCTATGAAGGATGCAAAAATGTATTGATGCGACACATGTTCATGACGCCACTCTTTGTTTTTGATGCGGCTTGTTTTGAAATTGGCATTCTTAGAAACGGGGGTGGTTGCTATGCGTATCCATCTCAAACACGTGCCCGCCGCACAGCGGACCGAGTCAATAGGAGAGATCGGACAAAATCTGGAAACATGACTTGATGCAAATTGAAATTTTTTCCAAAACCGATTATAAATGACTCACCCCGCCCGAAATGGCCATAGTGTAAAAAATAAAAGTAAGTCATTTATAATCGGTTTTGGAAAAAATTTCAATTTGCATCAAGTCATGTGTACATAGTGCCGATAAAATTTTAAAAAAATAATGCGTTGTTACAACATAGTGAAAATCTGGAAACTTCAAACGCTTGTAACTCCGTTTATACAAAACTTTGACTTTAAGGGCGGTTCCAATGGTTTCCTTTTGAAATTTTCTTCTACGGTCACCCCTTGAAATTTAAAATATGACGAAATAAACATTGAAATTTGCAATTTTAGTCAAGAATTTCAAGTCCGACCTCTCTCATTGACTCGATCCAGTGTGCGGCGCAGCGTAAGCGCCCAGTGCCGCCACCTACCTGCGTGTCAAGTCGGATCCTCTTTGCAAAGCGCTGTCGGTTCTTTTCCCGGATGATATTGTTTCGGCGGGGCAAGTTGGCGGCAATTATGAGGATATTTTATTGTCTCATGCACTCTCGAGTCGTATTGCCCCGATAAAATGGTGTAGGTAACGATTCAATCCACGAGTTCCACCTTGGAGATGTGTCGAAGCTGTTTTTTTCATCAGTTTATTTCGGAATTTCCATCATGATTCCTTCCAATTTTTCATTCATACGAGGTATGGCCCGTCCCTAAAAATTACGTGACGCTTTAGGGTGAGAGGGGGGGGTGTCGAGGAAAGCTTCACGCCATTCTGTCTTTACGTGTTAAAGGATAGGGATCTACGTCACAAAAGCGTTACAATAGGGGGGAGGTGTCATAAATGCCTAAGTGCGTTACGTAATAATTTAGGAACGGCCCTGTACGCGTACCTATACTTTCAAGCATGTGCTCTGCCTAGAAATCTACTTGGCTCCCACCAAAAAAATTGAGGGAGTTTGCTGGAGATGTACGTGGCATATCGGTACAGCTATTATAGTCCGAAAATGCGTATCCAGTAACGACAATGCTTTCCGCACATGTTACATTTATGTAATTTTTAAAAGGATAACTAATCAAAAGATTTTACTAATAATTTTTTTGTGCATTTCGTTCACTCATCTATAAATATTCGTAGAAAATGTCTAGGAGATGTATTGGATATAGTTTTCTTTCCAAAAAATAGAACACAAGCGAAGATTTTTAGACGATTCGATGCGGAGATCGCGTTACGATGGCGTCATAATGAAAAAGGTGTCGCTCAGATTCGGGAGGAAAGTTTAAAAAACGAGGCGGGATTATGTTTCTCCTATTTTCGGCTGTGTTGCTCATGTAGCCTCTGAAGCACCACTGTAAAAAAAAACAAACGGATCCAACTCAAAATGGAGATAGAGCAAGGGAAAGGCCGCGCGTTTTGACGGCGCAGAGATACAACTATTCGTGCTTGATGGATGCCCGTGTTGCGTCTGCAAAATTGAAGGCGCGATAGCGCGAGGCGTGGACTCGCAACGCGCTGCTCTCTGTGCTGCTAATGAATGTTGCTCGGATTGAGGAGAAAAGTTAAAAAGCAAAGCCTGAATACGTCTCTCATACCTTGGCTCGGTTGACACTCATTTTCCCCCTCTTTTTCAATTTGATGTCTGACTCTTTTTTTGATATGTATATTCGCAAACCTACGACTGGATCGCATCTAGCAAAAAGGAACGAGCGAGATTACATTGCTTTAAAAATGTTCCTCATTCACGATTGTCTAAAAAATCTCCCTTTATAGCAAATAGTTTTAACTCCCCGCCAAAAAAGTGTTAATTTTGAAGGAAAATAATAGTGTGAATTTTATTATTGTTCTTATATTAAGTTTATTTTTAAAATAAAAGGAGAAGTTGCACGGTTTTGAAAACACTGTAATCGCGCTGGTTCCTTTTTGCTAAATGCAATCCAACTAATGCTTGTGTATGTGCCGGCACCATCGCTCCTCCAGAAAAGATAGCCGGGTTTATTTGACCCGACTTGAGATTTCATGGGGTAGTTGTCTAAAAAAGAATTCCCTGACACTCATTTTTTTGTTTTGATGCTTGATTCTTCTTTTGCAATGTATTTGTAAGCGATGTATTTGTATTTGTAAGCTAAAGCTCGTATATATCAGCCTCATACAACCCACGGGCCGCGTGTTTTTGGCAAACCTCGCGCCTCGGGTCGAGTTGACCCGACTTCATTCATATTATACAACATGACAACGTTGAATGTCACCAAACATGTACGTCACTTTACGACGTGAGAAGTAGGTTTCGTATCACCTGTTTTTTACTCATAAATCAGCCAGGGAGCATTACCCTTGTAATTTTTATCGATTTCCCCTCATCAGAAATGGAATTTTCTGTGAAAGTTTTAAAGAATAACATTCAATAATTTTTCCTTAAAATTATAAAATAAGATCAGAGATTTTGAAACGCCGTGGCAAAACGAGGTGTGTATTTTGCGACTTACAGCATTCATAGAAGTATAATCATCTATGTACATGGAGTATGCCTCACAGCTGGTAGCGTGCACCTAGACGGAAGCCTCAGGCAGCCTGCATTTACTTAGGAATTCGAGCAGAAAAGTTGAAAAAAAAAAAAAAAAACATCAAAGGTGATAATTGAAGTGATAATGAAAGTGGTAAATTGTGCAAATTCAATCATGCGATCGGCGTGTCGGTGTTACTGTTGGTCTGTTCACACATGGTGCAATCCTCAATAATGAAATTCCGCGTTTTGTCTAATCTCCTACTTACGATTCAAATGGGCCGACAATTTTGCAATTGACTGATGTTTGATCTCGATAGTAGAAGTCGAAATTTCCAGTCGCAACGTTTCAAAATCTCGGATTATATTCTATCGTCCAAAAAAAAAAAAAATAAATAAAAATAAAAAAAACAGTCGTTATCTTTAAATTTTCTGTAGGTAAATATATTTAGAAAAATGAAGAAAATTCTTATAATAATTAGAGAAAAACAATTAGTCGTTCCTCTTTCAAAGAAATGAACATCAAATTTGCAACGCTCCAACTGAAGGTACATAACGTATTTTCTGCATTCCAACTATCGCGGACGATTTTTATTTTTAAAAAATTAATACGTGAATTACTTATAAAAAAGATAAAGTATATGGTTTTTCTTCCTTTTTGGAATGGTCAAGGAGAAATCGATGACTAGCCAACTTTATTCACTTTCATCTTTATTTAAAAGGAAGACAACTCGTTATGAATCGGCTGTTCCGCAAGAAGGAACATACTGCCCCTTTTTTCCCCAACAGCAGGGTAGAAGAAAGCAGATCAGGGAATATCCCCACATCCCAGTAATAATCCTACATTCCCAGTAATTACATATTAGACAAGACCAAATTGTGCTCCGTAACTTAAAATTTAAGTATTGAGATATAGCATTTTGAAAGTGACGTGTCAAGTTGACCCCGCCAGGATTTTCAGTATTTTTTTTTTTTTTTTTTTTTTTTTACGAGAGAAAGAAAAAATTTTAAGAATTAAATGGTTTTTCTCTAATTGATGCACGGATTATAAGGACACGAAATAAAAGTTCTGAACGTTTTGCCAAGGCGCAAAAAGCAACTATTACTACTCCGAAGCCGCTTAAATTGCTTCCTCTTTTTTTGAAGGCGAACTATGGTTGGGAAGTGAGCAATCGAATAGGGCGCTTGCACACGTCAGGGATTTGTGCTTTAAGCCCGGTAACCTGTGAATAATTTCAGGATAAACAAGATAATGCCACTGCTTTCTTTGCAAAAAAACTATAAAGCCTAAAAAAGCGAAGAATGAACCTCCAGGTTCACTAGGAGGCCGCGCCTGTGCCCTTCCTTGTCCCCTCCTCTCCCTACCATCCTGACCGGAAGGTCGCAAAAAGTTGCGCTATATCACGAAATTCTCCCAGTATTGCTTTTTCAGACACATATGCTTGCGGATTCGCTCGGCGCCTAAATGTTTTCTTTTCTTTAATTTACTATGTATCAGGGTAAACTTCATCCCTTGCAAAGAGTGAAGACCTGCCTCTCCCCCACCCCCCTCGTCATTCATGATTCCCATTTTTCCGGAGTGTTCCACATCTACTATGTTGCAACGTTTCTGTTGAACGTATGCAAGCGTTCCATGTTTTGAATTTAATCCGAAACATTGCGGTGGTAGTTTGACAACATTGCACAAGCTTCAGAACAGAGATCGAAGGATCAAAGGGCAAATTTAGCAATGGTGGAGTTTGTAATCAGCCGTGTGTTGTAGAAATATAATCGAAGCGCAATGCTAGTGGCCTTGTCTTGTGTGTCATTCTAATATTTCATTAATAATATCTATTTCCTTCCGATCAAAATGTTGTACTTAGTGAAGTGATTTTTTCGAGTGATAAAAGTATAATGAATTCGTTAGTCTTGACGGGAAGGCTATTATCTCGTGCCTTGTGGAATGGAATCTCTAGTTATTCATCTGTAGCTGATCCCAACGTCAGTCGTAAGCGTGAGCCATGCATGTTATCAGCAGTTTGCGGATTTCCCAAAGATTTTGCTAAATCCGTTTCCTTAAGAGGAAAATTTGGTGACGACGCCTGGTTCACAGCGAAAAGTAGGACGGCCGATGTCCTAGGTAAGTTTCTTCCACCGGACCCACCCATGATTTGTTTTGATTCTCACCTCTCCTCTTATAAGTTTCACTCCCTAAATATCATTTAGCTCCCTTGCCACTTTAAATTTACTCTTAAGGAGTCATACTAAGCAAGAGCGAAAACATTTTCCTGCGACCCAAACCCGTTTCAACATCATACGCATGCTTCGACAAAGGCTCTTTACATTATTGGAGGTCAACTTCAATTATCTAAGTTTTATATCATTTTAAAAGCTTTATCCAATATCACTCTAACAGGAAAGTTTAATTCTTTTACTTCGCCAGGCGCAAGGAGTTGTCATCACTTTTAACTGGTATCCATTCACTGGGACCTAACCTAACTTATGTAAAGGCGTCAATGCCATGGAGAATATTCAAGTATTCCCCGCAAATTTTCTGTTTGTTTATGATTTTGAGTTATGTTTTTTCTTTGGGGGACCATTAGAGTATTGCGTCTAGCTTCCTGTTGTCAGTTAGCTGTTTCACTGACTCCATCAAAAACTGACCCAAGTGACCTGCGGTGAAGAGACTGTTCCCATGTCACTCAAGTACAAATCTAATACTCTTAAAACATTTTTCCATACAATATTTAGGCAACAATGAACCTACAATGGATGTCATCTTTCACTTTTTCTTATTTGTAGTTACTTAGCTGTTCTGATTGAATTCAAATTCTAATGCCTTGTTCAGGAGATTCAGACCTCTTTCGCTCAATTGTTTTGCTTATGGTTCATCAATGTTCAGCCTTTGATCATCATATTACTGAATTTAATTCATAGCTGATTAAGTGAGAGGTGTGATCTAAAGTCTTGCAGTCAAGCTGATCTCTGTTTATTCAGTTTACTTATTCAATTTTCTTCTTTTTTTTGTAATTTTTAGGAGTAGCAGACGGTGTCGGTGGGTGGCAAGAGTATGGTATAGATCCCGGTGAATTTTCGTTAGTTTTAATGAAAACTTGTGAACGTCTAGTTACGTGCGGCAGAGTTACTAATCTTGAACCTTGTAGTCTACTAGCAAGAAGTTATTATGAACTTCTTGAAAATAAACAGTCTATAGTGGGTGAGTTTGTTTGAATATTTCTCTGTTCCTTGCTTTATTACACCTAAAATATGAATTTAAAAATTTTAAAAGCTCTTGGTCTCTGCAAAAGACCTGCACAACTTGCTTGAGCTCCTGATGCATCTAAACTAAATGCAAAGTTTGATTTTGGCTGCATTTAGTAATCGTACAGTCTACCTTACGTCGTATGTCTTGTAGAGCTCATGAGGAAATTTCATAATCGCCATAATTTGCCTCTAAGGCTACCAAAGTAACTTTTGGATTTGAGGTATCATTGACATGTAATCATCCTCTACATCCAGAAAGAATTTTACAGGAAAAAATCGCTTTTGTACCTTTTCAAAATTACGAAGTAGCCCCATTTCTTGGAAGCAACCTAAGTATATGTCTTTAGGTCCATGTGTTACTAAAAACTGCTACATACTTACATGATGTGCCCCTCATTTGAAATAAAGGGCAAATTCTAGAAAACCGCCTGCTCGTAGTAGTGTATCATCTTTCTGAGTAGTATCTTGTGTGCCCTTTAAGCAGGAGCAAAACTTCTCTTAAATGTTCTCTGCCCATTCTCAAAGAACTAATGCCTCCTAACATTTTTTTGGAAATTTTTCACCACTTCATCCCTCTATTTGATGTAATTTTGCTTTTACAGGTAGCAGCACAGCGTGTATTGTTGTTTTAAATAAAGAAACATGTACAGTTCAGACTGCAAATATTGGTGATAGTGGGTTTGTTGTCGTAAGGGCAGGCAAAGTAGTTCACAAGTCAGAGGAACAACAACATTATTTCAATACTCCTTTCCAGCTATCATTACCACCTCCCTCTCATGCGGAATCTGTCATCAGGGACAGGTAGGTTCATATCATTATTTTCTAGCTCATTTTCCAATAATGTTCTCCTTGTTTGTTACATTCAGTTAACTCATCATTCAGTAAAGTTCATTAGCCTTGAACCGCCTAAAATAGATCTAAAACTCATCCATTTTTATTAAAACAGGAAACAGCCAAAACTTGTGCCACGCTGAAAAGAAGCTGTCCGAAATTTTTATTACATCTAAGTCAGACTGTTCTAGGCTTGAGTGCAATTCAGATTAAGCATCATACATACCTTGGCTTTGTGTTGATCCTCGGAGCAAAAAAATTCCATTTTAGTTGAAGTAGGGTAATTTAGGTTGAAGGTGAAATGTACGCCGCCAAGCGAAAGGAGCTGTGCATGGGTTTCATTTAATGCTTATGATTTTATATTACAGTAAAAGGGAAGCTTTATTTGTCACTAATTTCTTATAGAAAGAGAAAAAAATATTTAACAAAACCTTCCTCTTCTTCGTGCACCAACTATTATTAATGACTATCAGGATCATTTCTGCCAAATTTTATCTAATACATCCTGTGTGAACAATTTTTAATCTAATGAGTGTAATTTTAAAGTATCATCTCTCAGATTGAACAGATTTTGCTCCTATTTTAATTATCTTTCTGGCCTCATACATCTCTTCATTGATAGAACATTAATCCTCAAAAAATTAATGGACCACTAGACAAGGTACGAATTTCAGCATTCTGATTCATGTTTCTTAGCTAAAATTTCATGTAAAACACGATGCGCACAACGAAAATTATCAAAATCAACCCCTTACGAAGATATTCAATGATTCTTGATGCGTAAATTCAAACCACCCGCTCATGAAAACTCAATGCTCTACGTGATTCACATCGTGCGCTAAAAGTTATCATGACAGTATCTGCGATTTAAAAATCTGGCAGCCTCGATTTTGACGCTTTGGCTCAGCTATAGCAAATTGCTCATAGTTTGAATACACATGGTAGGAAATGAACATTGCTCGATTGAGAAGCTTGCTGAAACCGCTGTAGTGCGCGATTTGACTCGCGTAGAGCTTTGAGTTTCTTGTGAGCGGGCAGTTCAAATTCCTCGTAACCAATGTGAAATAAAAACGCTGGAATCTTCGTTAGGAGTTAGTTTCAGTGATATTCGTTGCGCTAATCGTGTTTTCCGTGAAATTTTGGTTCAGAAACATGTATAAGATTGCTTAAATTTGTACCTTGTCTAGTGGTCCATTGCTGAATAAAAAGTTGAAAACACCCATCTGAATGCGTTGCAAATTTACAAAGATCACTCCTTCTGAGAGGACTTTACAATTACAGTTACTGCTTTTACTCTCAATGCAATAGATTTATTAACTGTCCTGAATCTTTAGCAAAAACCCAATGAGAATCAGAGCTAATCACTAGTACCACAAATTGCGTCCCAGAAGAGGTTTTTTTAAATTCAAAAGACCTAGCCCTCAAGCACCAGCACCTTTTTTCTTCTTCCTATTTTTATACGTTTAATAAAACAATATTGTTATAGCGTATCATGGCATTTCTTAATATGATGGAGAGATTATCAATCGGTTGTTCTTGCTTTGAACTATTTCCTTCTTATCACTTCTGTCCTTGTTTCTTTTTTCCTCTATAGGCCGGAGTCAGCTGACACTAGTAACTTTGCTGTCGAAGATGGAGATGTAATACTACTAGCAACTGATGGTGTTTTTGATAATGTTCCGGATTCCTTGCTAATTAGTGAATTATGTCGAGTTCAAGGGGAGCGTGATCTTGTCAAGATTCAAACAGTTGCCAATACAATAGCTCTAATGGCTAGGAAGCTAGCTTTTGATCAAAGGTTCATGTCACCGTTTGCCAAATCAGCTAGAGAAAATGGCATCTACACTGTCGGTGAGTACTAGTATATTTTCTCTCTATTTATCATTCAACAGTAGCTATTTTTTTTCTTATACCGTTGGTTCCGTGAGACCTCTGACAAGCAGTGTTTGATAACGTTTTCACACTACAATCCATGTATTGATAATTAGCAACAAAGCCATGACAAATATAAGCTATTCAATGTTTACGTACAAAGATTGCTTGCGAAAACACATTAGGGTATAATTAATTTTTAATTTTTTTTTTGGGGGGGGGGGGAGTGGAAGTTTACATGGATTCAGTTAATGTTCCCTCACCACGGGTTCTGTTTTTAACGTTTTGCAACGATAGAATTTTCTAATACACAAAGCGTTTGGCAGTCTCTAATGACTTAGAGAGACAAGAGAGTCTACATTCACTGATTGGTTGAAGCCTAACTGAGGACATGGCCTACCTATCATTTTGGCTGTCGGCCTCTAAGTAGTTGGTCACATTTTAGTGTAATAGACTTTTTGGTTTTTTCATGAAATTTTACATTGGATGACTGTTTGATACGCTGCAGAGATGTTATGCCAAAGACCCATCATCAATATCGGTTGAACTTTATTGGATCAGTTCTTTTGCTTTGCAAATTTGCAACAGAGGTTCATTTCTATCTATTGTGAACTTACTTATTTTATTGCTTCTATTCATTCCAATCAATTTAACGAGTATGTCTTTGTGTTTCAGGTGGTAAGCCAGACGACATCACAGTGCTACTAGCCACTGTTGCCCTTTGAACCTCAATTACAACGTTGCATTTAGTGAATCTGTATACTTTTAAGTGAAATTTTTGTGCTAGTTTTCAGTAGTTTAGTTTTATTTTACGTCAAGTTCTGTATATTGTACATATTGTTTTCTCGTGTAAATATTTTTAGATCGTGTACAGGGTGTTTTTATCTTTTACCGACTACTTTAATTAAGCATATTTCATGCAGACTATTCACTTTGCGATTATGAAAGACCAGAAAGAAAAGAGAATCTTATCTGGCTTATAGAATTACATCTTCTGGTTTCCTTTTCTTCTTTTGAGACAGGTAGTTAACAAATTTCAAATAATTCAAACTGCTCTAAAAATCAGCTTTCTGTGCAGTATCTGATTAACATCCGCAGTTTATTATGAATTTCATTTGTAAAAGAAATGAAATATTGGCTACAAGCAACTTCTACCTCATTGAAATAGTTTGTTTGATGGAGAGTTTTGCTTTTGAAGATGAAATGAAGAGAATTTTAATTTGTTACCTCTTGTCAGGGCTACTTTCAAATTTCATAATAATTTTGTTATTGATTTAAATTTTATGTTTGATAAATCAGAAAGATCACTCAAGTGCAATAACTTTCGCTCTGACATGGAGTAAGTTGTGAAAACACAGAAAATTATTTATCTCTCTTAAGCAATGCTCTTTTTCACTACACTCATGTTTCGCATGTTAATATGTAGAATCAAAACTGTTGCTTGTCCAGTCCTGAACATTTCCTTCACTTTACTTTTATTACTCCTTGAAACTTCGGTAGAAGAAATACCAAAAAGATTAAATGCCCATAAGAGCAATCTCCCTTCAATCCTTCACTTTTAAAGATGTTCGTCAGACCTCAATGGTCTTTCCCACAAATGCAGTCGTTAGAAACATTAATATCTGTTCTGTAATTTGAATAAGGAAAACGTCTCCCTATTCCAGTAATGTAAAATCTAAGTGCTTAACTGGAAACTTTCAGAAATGTGACAAACTCAACGGAAACTTTGACGAAAAAATTGAAGACAAGTTAGAAAAAATTGTATTTGGAACTGTTGAAAAATTTTGTCTAGTCCTTTAAGGGGTGTCTTCATTTCATAAAAGTCATCAATTTTTTTTTTAAAAAGAAGTCCCTCGTTCATGTTTGTACAGCTTTAACTTGAATCAGCCAATGTTCTCTTTTTCAAGTGCAAAAGTAGCTCTCATGTTTTATTCATTCATAAGAAATCAAGCAACACCATACCCTGAAACTTTGTATGAAATTTCTCAGATTATGGGGAAGACTCTTACCGAATTTCAAGGTAGAGGCCTTGTTAGTTTTTTTATAATAAAATGAAACATGAAAGGAAACTGCAATTTTGAAATGCAGTCAAACTGGTTTGAGTTAATTCTGTCAAATTTAACCAGTCTATTTTCTAGTCTTTAGAGAAAGTACCCACTTGCTTGATTTTCTACACTGATTTAATAAGGAGTGTATTGTAACACTTCTCTCAGCTCAATTTAGTTTACTGAAGTAGTTTCTTACACATCATACTTTTTTTTTCTGTAATACTTTACCATGTAAGCAATCACCCGCTTCTTCTTACATGATATTTATAATCAACCGCCTCCCCTCCCTGTCTCTGAGCATAGCTATATAAGTAGTTATACAAATTAATTTTATAAGACAATTAAAAATTATTCTGGTTTTGAATTCATCATTGACTAAGTTAAGAACGTCTATTCAATTCATAAGTTTCCCAGTGAGTTAATTCTCTCTCTTTTTAATCAGTTCTGGATTCTTTTAAGCATATTGTTCCTTTTCTTGAAGAGTATTCTGTTTGTAGATCAGTCTGAGCCTCAAATGAAGTAATTAATATCACTTTAATCAATAAAAAATGATTAAATCTGATGGTTGTACGAAATTAAACTTTTTCCAATTCGATATCGGGAGCTGGTCTTTTCAGAAGTTGAGAAGTAGAATCGTTGCAAATCACGAATCAATTAAATAACATTTATAATTTCCCTGCCTGATTTCATTAAAGTTGTAAAACCTATTTTGAAATCTTTAAAGGAAGTCGTTTCCTCCTGTTCACCTGTGGAGATTTGTGCTGCAACTGTACTGTAATTCTGTGTATTGAGCGAAACCTCCAGTCTAGATTACTTTCTCTTTCTTTCTAACGATTTGAAAATTCTGTCCATTTAAGCCATGTTGTAATTTTTATTTGTTCAGAATCCAGGAAGTGGTGTTTTGCTGTGATGTTTAGTCCAGGATTTGGTACTGGTCCAAGTTTTGGAGCTTAGTAAGTTCTTGATTTTGCCTAGCCAATTTTCAAGAACTATAAAAAGTAAGTTCAAACTGTGAACTATTAATGTTTAAATCATGGTCTACCTACGTTTTTAAGTCGAAATGATGTTAATATATCTTAAATTAAATCTGTCTAGTAAGGATTTATTGTAATTTGATTAATTAAACTATTTATTGTTTTCTTTTTTAAATTATTTTTTCTTCTTTTCTCCTTACTATGATGGAGTGATGTCTGAGTCCCAAATTAAGTATATATGTAGTTTAATATTTTATTTTGATCTTTTGTGATATAAAATTGTTTTTCAGCATCACAAAATTGGTAAATACTGTATAGATGCGGGAAAAACGGTTTTTTTTTTCTATGGGTATTTTTTCTTTTGTAAATGGGGATATTTTATTAGTCATCACTGTATGATCCTGTAAAATGTGCTGCAATTCAGGTACACATCTGAAAGAGAAATTTCTAAGAAGAAATATGAATCACAAAGTAGAATTTACCAAATGCTTACAAGCAAGACTCATTGTTAGTAAGAAGCAAACTCCATAACTGCAATCTGTTGTATCTGTTCATACTGCAAAATGAAGGAACTTTAAAAAGCTGCTAGATCCAGGATAATAATTCTAGACTCGCAGAGAACCAATATGTAGCAAGGATTCTTGAAATGAGAATGAAGCTTTTTCCCAAAATGTCAACTTGGAATACTTGGACTATGAAAAAAGATCTATATGTAATCACAATTTTCACAATCATGAATGACTTAAAGGTATTCTGACACCTCAGCAATATTTTTCTCTCAAAAATATTGCTTTAGCAGGGGCAGGCATGAATTTCTGAAGGAAGCTGTTGGCTCCCACGCTGAAACTATTGGAAAATTTCTGACTTCCCTTTGTAGAGCTGATGGGATTTTTTTGGCAAAAACTTTTTTGCGCAAATCTTTTTTCTTTTCATATGACTTTTATACAGCTCTCGGAGGGGACTGTAAAACTGACTGTTCAAACGAATTTTAACCTTAGAAATGTAATTCTCTTTTTTTTTTAAAAAAAAAAAAAATTAAGTAAAACAAGTTCTCTTCCCATGTTAAACTTTGGTGAGATAGCATCAATTTGAACTTCCCTCTTCTCAGCTCTTATCCTCTATCTCTCACTTGTGAGAGCGACGCTAGCGCTGTTACCGAGACCCCTCAGAATCTTTCTTCTCTCTTCAGCACGTGCCTTTTGCTATCGTCTGTCTCTTTTTATCTTATGAAACTAATGGCATCGCCCCTCGCCTGCGCAACGCAGCTGCGCGACCACTTTTGTTCCCACCTCTCAGTACGTTTTATCACTCTTTGAACGCGAGATCCTACATCGTCATCCTTCCGAACTTCCAACTTTCTCATTCGGTTCCGACATGTCGCCCTGAACGGGCGGCTGCCCGCACAGCCATCCCATTTCATGATCATAACATCAACACAACCTATAAAAAATTCCAATTCTTATCAAAATCCCGCATTTCAAAGTTGACTTCCTTATCACTACTCTTTTTTTTATCAACAATCGCTGTTTCACTGCAAGAAAATGCATTTCTCCTTTTTGTGCTGTGCTTTCCTAGTTTTGTGTCAATTTAACCATTCAGTGCAAAGCTGATAGTGTGCCTTCTCAGTCACTGGACATGCCCTCTTCGCTCTCACATCATTCCCATCGACATTAAGTGAGATTTTTGCTCTGTCATCGCATCATGATCGCATACTCAAGTATTATTTAGATTTTCTTTCCCATTTCATCCATTATCATGTCAACCGAGAACAAAGAACTTGTTCTATTGATCTCCAAAATAACGGGTCCAACAAATCCGAAGTTCAGCAAATACCTACCACATATTCTCAGGAGATTGAAAAATAATGACAGTGAAATCGACATTTTGTTGAAGCATCAAGATTTCTTTGAGATCCTCAAAGCTGCTCTGACCAAACCAGGCTGTGACACAACCATTCTCTTCTTATCTATACTGGACATCTGCTGCTGTAAAAGCTCATTTTGCAGTGAGGTAATGGCCTTTTCTTCATGTTATCTGATTATTATTACGTACTCATATTTAATGATCATTCATGGATCCAAGTGTACTAACATTCAATTGCTGAGAATTTTTTATAGTTGGAAATATGCATCCTCCAGGAAGCACCCTATTTGCATTGTCATAAAGCTTCAAAACTGTTACCCTGTCAAAGAATTGTTCACATGGCAAAATGGAACATTCATGTCTAAGACTGCAAATAGTATAACCAGAACATTTTATAGAGTGGCTAACTTTTTAGTATTAATTCCCTCATTTCTGTTTAGTCAGATAATTCTTATTTTTACAATTGTGAGGCAGCTATTTTAATTTTTTCTCTCAATCATAGCCATATTATAGTGATTTAAACTTTTGTGAATTGTAAAGCACCATGACAGCACCGATACTATGGATGACCATACCAATTCTTGAATCTCATCTGTTAATAAAAGCCGTATCACTGAAAGTAACAGCAGCTTTGAAGGATTTGATTGCTTGAGGGTACGACTATTTTCTAATTAAGTGACAGTCAAGTGAGTTCAATCAGATGCTGCAAGTACCAGACTAGGAATAAAAGATGAGTGTCATTTGGTAATTTACCCACAATTCCACCTACGATTGAATTTTAATCAAATCTCTCGCTCACCTTAATAACATCAGAAATTCTAATTGTCTCTAATTTGAATCTAACTTCTTTGTTTTCAGTTGTCAGGACATAATATTGTGCATCATTTAACTTTTATTTTACAAAATTTGAACGATCGCAAGCTTCTAAGTTACACATGCAAAGTGATCGGCAAGCTAGCAAAATCCAACACTCCGGATTTAGTAGGGGAGTTGAACAAGTCCAAAGCCTTATTATTCGTCACAAAGGTTTTAAATGATACCCGAAACGGCTGGAAAGATACACAAACCACAGCACTCTATGCTTTGGGGTAAGTGATTTTTTTCCTCTTCCAAGATTTCATCCAGTAATTGAAACGAAGATCAGCATCTTTATTTTACCTACATTTATTCTTAACACTTAAACAAATTGATTGATCGAGAAGGCAAAGAAGTGTTGAGACAAAATGAAAGTAGTCAATATGACTAGTTTGTTTCATGAAAATTGAGAAGTGGATGAAAGTATTAAATCTTACTTTCAATAAATATTTTTTGTTTGAGAGAGCCACTTCAACGATGTCTCATTATATTCTCTCCAATATTTTACGTTTTATTTTTTTTATTTTCTTAAATCGTAGAATTTTTCTGAAAAAATTTGCTTACTCATCGAAATAGACAAGAACAAAAAGCATTGTTGAGTACTTACCTAAGATGTCCCCCCCCCCCCCANCACAAGGAAGAAAAAACTCCACATGACAACTTTTACTCTCTTTAATAAGGGCTTTTCTTAGAATGAATGTTTTTATTCTTCCTCCATTAAATATTATCCCATAAAGTTTTCGTGCACTAAATTGAACTTGTTTCAGACAATCTGTATTCCAGCTGTCAATTCTATCCTTCGCACCCTTCTTTATCAGTCTATCATTTGGTTTGAAGTAAAAAGATTGTTCCTTTTTTTCCAGGTGGCTGTGGAATGTGTGTTTTATGGCAGACATTGTTAGGTCAAATTCAATCAAATATGTCATGACTCTTTTGCTGTCGGAGAATACATCAGTTTACAAACCTTGTTTGATCGCATTGAGTAGGCTAAAGTTGAATCAGAAACCTGCATCAATTAAATGTGCTTTGCAGGTAAGTCAATACCTTGATTGAAATGTTTTTTCTCTCCGAGAGGATGGTCACAATCAGGGAGACCCTGGAAATACCTAGTTTTGAAAAATGGGAAGACGATAAAGTGGAGAGGGTCTTAAGGAAGACTGACGCTTGTTAGTGTAAAAATCCTGGCATATTTTCAAAGAAAAGCAGAAAAGAGACAGAGTTATGTGTTCCAGAGCGTCAAGAGAATACTGTGATTCGTATTTATGGTAAAAAAAGAGGAGGGGAAAAAATGGGACTTTTATAAAAGGACAGTTAAGGACTTTCTGCGGTTATTCTTGAACTGAGTGAAAAAGTGTATTGGAGCCCCTGACAAGCATGTAAAGTGTCCGTCAAAGTTTTTAATGTACAATATTCGCAGAGATGTCAGGATCAAGAACTGCTTTTTCATCATTATTTCTACAAAGCAAGATTCATGCATAAGCTAGGGTTGGACTTTTATACCTTTAAAAGTAGTTCTATACTCACTGCAAATCAGAGATCTTTTGAAAAACGATTATCAGATACTTTCTTGTTCTTAAATGTATTGAAGATCAATTCAACTGCATTTGGTAAAAGACTATTTTGAGTTCAGTTTGCTCATTGAAAGAAATGATTGGTAATTAGGACTGCTTACTACTTATTTTGCGGAAGGACTCCTTTTATGCATGTGCCTTTAATTTCGTTTTTGAACATGTACCTTAAAGTGTTGTCTAAATTTTCCGCCATTCGATGTCTCTCCACTTTTTTACAGGTTAGTGAAAATAAAGGTTTTGCAAAAATTATATCGCTGCTCCCAAAGTATCCAGATCTTGTTGGAACCGTTCTTTCAACTTTAATGGGAACTCGTGCATGTGAAGTTTACAAACCTCTCAGCGAAAATAAAATGCTCTACACAGTCTTTGATCAGCTGAAAACTCAACCAAATAATTGTAAGTATTCCCTTTCAGACTCCTGCACAAGGTTTCTCTGAAAGTCTCTTTACTGTGAAGTAATTTTAAGTGAATGTGGTTAGATTTAAAACTAATGTGAGGTACCTAGGTATTTATGAAGAATCCAATCGTTTTCTAAAGTGAAAATATCCAATTTGGATAAGATTGATTTTGAAATTGAGTTCAAAAGATGACTCTAGCTTTTTTTCCATGTTATTAGATTGAGGAGAGTCAAATAATGGACGAACAGATACTGTAAAAATATAAGCACATTAATACTGCATCAAAATTGTATGCAGAATATGTATAGTGAATAAATTGGACTTTTTCTAATCCGACTCGTGAATGAGTACATGGGCATTTTTTTGTTTGTTCATTCGAACCTCCTGCTTTCAGAAACTTCTCATCAATGCATCAAGTTTGAAGAAATATCATTTCATCCCTAACAACTAAAATTTTTCATCTGTTTCAGTTATCCTGCTTCGTACCTTTTGTTTAGCGTGTCTAGATAGCTCCTTACAAGTCAGTCTAAGGATATCCAACTCTCTTCCATTTTTTCTCTCTCTTTTCAAACAGTTCTCATATAAATCTAAAGAAATGGATTTATTAGTCAGTACTCTTGAAAAATTTGAAAAGAATACTGATTGTTTAAGGGTAAGTCTGTTATTATTTAGTTTTTATCTTCGTATTTTTTTTGGCTAACCAAGTTGTTCTTCATTTTATGCTCTTTTTTAATATTGGGAAGAAGTTATTTTGTAAAAGTAAGGGTGTCCAATAAGGATTGTCAGAAATGTAGAAAAAACAGCGTTAAAGAATATTGAATCTGTAGTTCATTAATGTGGTCAATTTCAACTTTTTTACCTTTAGCTCAGTCAGCGTGGTCCAGAACATTTTTTCCAACGATTTTGCCACTTCTCAAACACTTGCTCAAAACTACTCTAAGAAAGTTATTGAAGGTCTGAAGTACCTCCAATGTGATTATCGGCCTGAGGATGTAGATAAAAGTCATTAGGAGTAAAAATTAGACCAACAGATGGCCGAGATTCCATTTCAACATATTTCATGGGGGGTGCATGTACTGTGACCCAAGATCAGTACTGGAGAATGGTAGTCAGCAGTCGCTGAACCCACCGAGCACAAACATCAGTAGGGTACAGTTGATCATGTAATTTTGTATAATCATCACAGAATCGTTCTTATTCCAATAAAAAGAAATCGGTTTTCTAGGTTTTACTGTGGGTTGAAGAAAATGACAGTGAAATAGTAGGATAAACTGTAAAATTGCAAGTTAGACATGAACCCTAACTCAACCTTTCTTTGTAAAGTAGAGTGTATTTTTCCAAAAAAAAAAGAAACTAATGCAAATTGCATCTCATTATCTACCTTGTTCAAAAAAATGTAATTTGTAGGTTTCCTATTTGACAATGCTACTACATGAACCGGAATCATTTTCTTGTCTGAAAATTTATCATGAAGATCCGATATAAAAAACCAGTACATGCTGCGTTGAAAATCATCTTGTTGGTGGACGGGGAATAGAAAACTGAAACTGAAGAATACAGTAAGACCTCGAATTATCGGATCGCGATTTGACAGATTCCGCGATTTCATGGATCGGTTGTCCGGTCCCTTCAGCAGGACTCTCCAGCGTGATTTAACGGATTCGGCCTCCGGTCCTGTGAAATCCGATAAATTGAGGTCTTACTGTAACTAAATAAGGATGAAGGTGAACCAGTTTACATTACTTTTTTATTCGCATGATTTCAGGAGATGGCTGAACATGGTCTCGTGGACATTTTGGCTTCCATTTTACACGACATTGTACAAAATGAAAAGTTGGATGATATAGCCCATGAAAAAACGTATCAGCCCCCTTCATGTTGCACACGATATTTGTCACTGGATCACTCTTTCTCAAAAAGCGGGGAATGCTCAGGATATGACGCAGATAATTCATGGCACTCTGTAAGTACCTTGATATTTTTCTGTCATCATTTTTCAAGGTTTATTCAAAGAATGTTTTGTTTGCTATTTGAATTACTAAGAGCCAAATATCAGTCGGAAGGCATCATCGAAATTATAATAGCTTGCTGTATGAGAAAGTGCTCTGATTCTTTGTTTTTTTTACTCAGTATGTGTGTATTTTATGCTCCATAGCCGATAGATTAGATGCGCAAGATACAGCTCAATTTTTCCGACTCTTAAATTCTGATTACTATGTTCAAGAGCAAGTAACTGCCAACAGTGAATTTGTACTATCAGTTCTTCATCAGTTCAGACCCTCTTTCGAAAAATGTTTCATGCTTGACCAAACAATGAACTCTCTCACTCAGGAAAAAGCAGGAACTCTCACTGTAAGCGTCTTTGTTGCTGTCTCCAAACTCTATGCTAAAGCGTCCCATGGTGGGAAAACTAAGACATTTTTGCATCAAATTTTCTAAAGTTTTGGATGTGCTTATCCCTTAAATTTTTAAGAGAAAGTTTTCGATCTTTTTGAGCGCTCTTCTGCAATTAAGTTCCATGGATTTATGTTCCTTGCTCTCCTTCAATCTCAGATTTTGTTATCTTGATTTCTTGGATCTTGTACATCATTGTCACCTTACTTTTTCTTACAGATAAACTCCATCCTAATAGTATTATTGGCTGTCACCCGTCTTGAGAATTTGAGTCAGAAAATCATTGTTGCTTTGACCTCAGAAGAAGTGTGGAACTCAGTTTTGAACTGCATTTGTTTTGTACCAGACACAATTAGCAAAAACGCTATCAACATATTGTCTTCATTGGGAAGGTAAGATGTCTCATTATTGTTGATATTGTCAATATTATATGTGATATTGTTGGTGTTTAATAGTAAAATAATTACAGCCCTGCCTATTGACTCTAAAAGTTATGAAAATTGAAATTTTGTCTTTTGTTGACAACGCACTAAAATTGGCCCTTCAATCTAAAGTTCTCTCCTTGTTGCAGAGTGTCCAACTATTAAAATCTCAAATATGAAGCTTTAGATGAGCTCAAAAATGTATTAATTTCTAACAGCATCATTCCAAACTCTTATGGGAATTTAATTAAACAATTACTTTTTTCAACATACCTATTTAAAATTATCATGTCTACTTTTTTCATTTTCTTTCAGTTCTCCCAAACATTTTATGAGCATTTATAGAAATAAATTGGTCTTGAAGATCGAGAGAACACTCTTACGTGCAGCACATGATGATTGCTATCATTGTGCTTACTTGTACCTTGCTGGAAAATATATTCTTCAGAAAATGTCAAAAGCTGCTGAATGTGGAATGGTGTACGGAGAGTTAATACATATACTTGCTCAAGATGAGCCCCAAGCCAAAAGAGAATTGGCTATTAGTGTAGCATTAGTCATCAGGTAATGAAAACATCTTAATTTCCTCCTTATTTTTCTTCCAGCTAATATGCTTCAAAAATATAGTTCCCAAACCACTGTATTGTCTGCAATAGTATTCATAAAATTTTAGTAAAAATATGGAAAAGTGACAACTGACAAAAAGTTAAAGTAGAAAGGGGAAAATGGCAAAGATCTCTCTTTTGTTTGGACAGAATCAGATATTGTATTTTTACATTCTAAAATTCAGCCAAAAATTGAGAAAAAAATGGAGCCCCTTCCTCTGATGGAACACACTTGGAAAGTACTATTGCTGCCATTTTTTTAATTTATTTATTATTTTTCGGCATCTTTTATTGAGGGATTGTCATTGTTACTGCAGGAATAAAATACATGAATCAAGGAACATTACTTAAATATGATTACACGGAATAATTTATTATTGGTAGACAAGCATTACATCCTTAAAAATATTATATGATTTCAAAGTTAGGCTAAAGCTTTGTCAGAATTACATGTAGCAGGTATACCATGGACAACTTCCAGTTCATTGTGAATCGAAAAGAAAGAGTAGCTGACTTCTTGATTATCACTTTACCAACAAAGGCATCGACAGGGTCAGTTTTTTTTCTTTTTCTTTTTTTTGAGGGGGGAGGGGGGTGTGAGAACAGAAATTTTTGAGCACTGTTGATGCTTAAGGGGTAGAGAGAAGATTCCAAAAATTAACATTGGAACCTGAAATTCCAACAATAAAAAAATAGAAAAAATACTGAGCTCAAGGGTATCTGGGGCAAGACTGAAATGTTTGCCTCTCACTTAATATCTGAGTTTTGTGAGATGTGTGAGCCAGTAATTATTGCTATTGTTATGAAATTATAACTTTAAAAAAAGAAAATCGTAAAATGTTTAGGCTTCAAAAATAAAATGAACAAAAATGATAAAGATAAATGATAAATGATATGGCTCTATTTATAATGCGCCATAAGATTAAGGAATAAAGTGCAAGTTTTCCCTCTTTCAATCAAGGAAACATGAAAAGTCAGAGATTTTTCCTCTTGAAGATTTTAATATCAAGTAATTTTTATTTTTATCAATCATAATTAAATTAATTCTTCCCATTTTTCCTTTCAGGAATGGGCGTTCATTGTTAAGTTACTTATCTCATCACAAATGTTTGGATTACATCATCGAGGCTCTGGATGATCCTGTTCTGTATGAGGATGCTATAGTCAGCATATCTTTCATGTGTAAGATTCTTGGTTTAAATGAAAACGTAAATTTAAAATTAAACACTCATCCGCTTTTCGACTCAGAGAAAGAATGTTTTTCTAGTGAAACAAAAGACACCGTCATCAGGCATTCCTACAATGTAAATATTCTCAAGAGTGAAACGGTGATCCAACTTGAAGAAACCAAAAGTTCTGTTGATATGCAAATCGAGGAAGAATCTAATGACGCTAGTTCCTCTTTGTTGTCTTGTTCCAAAAAGTGCGTTACTCCTGTAAGTTATATTTCTGAAAACCCAAGTGTATTTAAATTCAACGACGGTAAGCGAGTCTCAGCCGATAAAAACCTTCTTATCAGCCGGTCTCCAATGTTTGAAGGAATGTTTCGCGAGTCCAATTTCAAAGAATCTCTGGATGAGGAGATTTTGTTGCAAAGTATTTCATCTCAGTGTTTTGAGCACTTAGTCAAATTACTGAAGCAATTTTGCGTTCACAATGTACCGAAAGATATCAACATCTTACTGGAGCTTATCATTGTTTCTGATAGGTATTTAATCAGCGATATGACTGAAAAATTATTGCTATATTTAATGCATGCGATCACGTTTGAGAATTCTGGCATTGCCTACAACTGGGCAATAGAACATGCTTTAATGATTTTCAATAACAGTGCAATTAGTGATTTTATTATTGTTTTTCTTTTGACAACAAATCAAACTTTTCAACATACATTTGAGAAATTTGTTGATTTTGAAAGACACAAAAAGGCTTTCCAGTACATGTTGAGCAGCCAGCAGCGTGTCCATTTCTTGTCAGATATCAAAGATATGATCTTTCAGGTACTCGAAAAATTAGTTGCAAAGCAATCTAGGTATTCTTTCTGACCCTGGGTACCTGAGTCACCATTTTCTAAAAATTAACTTCTCTCAGCGCTCTGTAAAGAATCTCTTTGTCCACAAATTTTCAAGGATCCGATAAATTTTCCTAGTCACATGTTATGTTTACCTAAAAATTCGCAGCAAAATGTAAGCGTTATGTCAACTAAAAAACAAGTAAATAACGCAAAATGATTACGGATCATCAAAAAGTCAAACCTACTCAATTCGAATGTCAAATAAAAGTTACACCGAAAAGTAATTACGTGTCCTTGAGAGTGAAGTGTTGAATTTTGAGTGGTCCTCATGCACCTAAAACAGTTTTTTAAAATAAATGATCGGAAAAACTGGCTAATTTTTGTTTTTGCCAGTCAAAAAAGTATAAGTTGGAGATCCTACTCATCTGAAATCATTGATATAATGTGAAGAGTACTTTTTCGTTAAAGAAGGAAAACATAATTGAAATGTTTTCGCAGTTTTTCATATCTTTCCGGTTCAAATATTGGACAGTAATAATTCAGAGGATTTCTTGTCTGCAATCGACTGATTTGCTTAATTATTTCGTGTGTATGTTCTTTCCAATAATGAGTCCAATGTTTTAATAGGTAGTAATTTTAATTTGTTTTATTTTAATGTGATGAATCGCAATTAATGTTTGCATTTTCTAGTCAACAATTTCTTTATGTCCATTATTATTTTAAACATTTTACATCATAAAAAATAATTTCAGAAATTCCCAAGGTCAATAATTTTAGAAGCCTTTTCTTTTTTTGAAAAGCCCAGTTTTATTATGACAGTATCTCCTTTTTGTATTTATTTTACAAGCATTTTGTGTTAATTTTTGTACATTTAGAATTTTGAAGGACTTTCAAATATTTAATTGACTATTTTATGAAGACAAATGTTTACAGAAAGAAGTCCCACTACGCATTGTATGACTTGCAGAATAGGTCAGGCAATTGCTATGCAATTAGAACACACAGTGATAACAAAGCAAAAACGTTCAGAAAACATAACCTTGTGTTGTAATCGCAACCTGATACACAGCAGCCAATCCCTCTCGTGATGTTACAAAATCCGTGGGGCCTTATTTTTCTTTTCGAAACGGGATATCGTTATTTGTGACTTTGAAAGTCCTTTTCTTAAATATAATTTGATTTGAATTTGAATTGATGAAAAACAGAAAAATGCAGGCATTCTGATTTTTTACGAACTTTTCAAACATTAATTTTAAAAACATTCGCTACAGCTCCACTTATTCAGCAGGCTGTACTCAATCTAACCTTGTCGTCAAACTCTAATAAGAAAGTAAAGGCCAGGAAACACTAAGAGAAAGAAAAAAATGTAAGGAATAAATGTGATAATTTTCACTTGTATTTGCCACGAAGCATTTAAACAGAAAGGAGCGATTTAATCAAAGGAAAAGAGTCAGGAACAGATCTAGAATTAAACCAGCCGCACATTTTCCCTGGTCAAAAATTTAGGGTCAATAGGAAATATTTTGAATGTGAAAATAGCGATTTAGTTCATGTCTTAGATTGAGTCATATGGAGGCCCAAAACTTGGATCCTCTTTCTCTGGGTTCAATATTGATGAGATTTGGTTTCTTTTTTTTTTCCTTTTGGTTAATTTTCTTTATGCTTCTTAATTTAATATGCCATTGCTGGGTCCTATGCTCTGTTACAGAATGCTTTAATTTTTGCGTTTTCTCAAAGAATTTTATTTGTTCAACGATGAGCATATCCTCTTGCGTAGTTAGTGCCAAAAACATCTCTTGATTTTTACAAACCGAACTCGGTAATCAATTTTTATGCTATGTTCATTTCAAGATCATCAAAGTTACAACTTTTTGTTTCTCCTTAATGACTGTTTTTCCTGTGCACTGGCCAAAATTTTAACAGGTCAACTATTCCACCCCCTGAATGATGAAAAAATTATGCATTTTATCATGATTCTCTTATTTCATGATCAGTTCACCCCATGAAGAATTTGTGCGCAAACAAGTGCGTAATTTGTGCGTACCTACTTTTGTGAAATGCTGAGAATACTTTTCCATGCTAGATCATGTTTAATATCTGATCTCTGAGAATAAACATTTAAGACGCTCCTTGAAGCTCCTTTGACTCAAACTTTCATCAAAAGTTTATGAAGCACAGGAATTCAAATAGACATGAGAACCTCTCAGGTCAGTTTCAAGGTAATTTTTAAACTCCGATTGCAATCTACTGCAATAAGATTAACTAACAATGTTTAACTAAGGTTAGGAAGCTCTTGACGTAACTTTTTCATTCCTTCATCTGTGTCTGTTAATCACTGCCATGGCATTTTAATTCTGTTCTTGTGTCCAGTAAGGTTACAAGCAGGTTGGTCCAAAAAAAATGTTATCAACCTAATGTTTTCCATAACCCTGGACGAATTTTTTGAGACTTAATGGACCCATCATCAATTCTCTCCCTGATTTGCAGAAAAGAAGACTGTTTTCCGGAAAATAAAAAAATAAAATAAAAATTTAGTTGTTTAAGTAATTAAACAGGCTGTTCTACTAATACACGTATTGTGTAGTTATGCTATTATAAAAAATGACACTAATTTCCTCTTTTTTGTGATCTAAGACCTAAGCATTATAAAGAGTAACTGCACTGGTATTATGAACTTGTGCGAGTATACTTATAGGCAATGTAGAAGAAGTCCCTGTCCTTTTTTTAAATTTAATTTTCTTAAATTTGTATATTACTGTAATTAGTAAACCTCCTGTAATTAGCAAAAAAGATTGTTAAAAGCTTGTAAAAATAAATTGTTACAAACCAAAACTGAATTTTCTAGTAACAGGTCCCCACCCCTGATCTGTTCAAAATATTCTCTGGCAGTTTCTCCCTATTTAATTCAGGAACAAAGGTTTTTTTAGTTTCATCAATCTTTTTCGAGAACTGAATGGGAAAGTTTTTGGTTAAAGTATAATATGTTAATATCCTCGACCAGATTTTTTCCCCGAAAATTGCTTCGCAGGGTTGTTGCTGGTTCACTTCATCCATGACACTTGTGGTGTCAAGATTTTGACAACCTCAGCCAGCATCTGTAAACTGATTCTCTCATCCCATTGTAAAGAACCAAAGTATGCTTCCTTTTAAGAATGAACCAAATGAATGCGTTTGAACAAAACAAAAATAGGTATTGAATTTCATGATAGTTAAAGCATACCTGTAGTATGTACTAGAGGTACTATTGCCACACATTAAACTCTTTCAGGAGGCTTGTTGCATTCTGTTGGTGTCATTTTATAGCCTTCCATTTATGAAATTCTCAGGTTATCAGAAGAAGCTTCAAAAGTCATTGTGAGACTAGACAATTGTATTGCTTTCCAATGTTTTTTTATTTATGGCTGTTGATTTGAGATTGGAGAATTGGCTCATGAAAAAACCGCAGATGTCCATTTTTCCAATTTTGATTTCATCAGGGTTTATGATAATTTCCAAGGTAAGAGATACAGCCATGAAAAGTATTGTCAACAGAAAGAATTTAAAGCATGAGAAATGGACAACAGCAGTTTTCGCACAAGCCAATTCAACTATGAAATTAAATGAAATAATGGAAAGGAGAGCCTTTTCTCATTAATTTCTTTAAAGAATTCTGCTGGAGAAAATTTCATTCTTGAATCTTGAAAAAACAAAAGCCAAGATGGGAGGGTGGATTGATGTCTATTATTTAGAGAGTAACTAATTATTTTTAATTAAAATTACTATCACAGCACTTAATTTACTAGGAATAAGTACAATCAACTCAGAAAATCCATTGAAGAATAGGACAAGACAGAAATGGTAGGAAGATACCACAACAAGTGGTTAGGCTGCTTACCGCTGTAGAATACAATTAAATGCATTTTCAGGCAAATTACAGGCAAATTAAAAATATCAAATGAACGCATTCGTGCTAAAAGGAACTATTAATCGTTATTAAGGGTTTTTTTTTTTTTTTAATTTGAAAATAGGACATGGGTAAGGTATAGTTTGGTTCACTACTTACTCAATTAAGTTGCTAAACAAGGCGGTAAAATATGAGTCAAGGCCATGAAAAGTTCGAAAATTTCAACATAAGTAACAATATTTCATACAGTTCGGGTCAAATTTTTAGCAGAGCCGGATTTAGGGGGTGGCCACATGGGCCGCGGCCCGTGGCGGCAAATTTAGGGGGCGGCAAATGTTGCCATTTTTTTATATGTAGGTGTAAAAAAATCGGATTTAGAAAAAAATTATAAACGAGAAAAGGCAACAAAACCTATTATTTCCTGAGAGTACAGTAATTTCTAATTTTGTCGTCTTTCGGTGATACCAGAGACAGCACCTTTAATAATTAGTCGAGTTAAGAGAGAAACCTAACACACAATTACGCCTGGAGCGACGCAGCGCAGAGAGCAATGATGACGAGGACTTGATATGAAAACAGAGACAAGATGAAAAGGAGAAGCCCGCGGCGCGGCGGTCGGCATGTAACACATATCAGCGCCTACGAGACTGCATGAATACTTCACGCATAGCGCCAGACACAGCAGCAGGGCGCCCAAGGCGGCAGCGGTCGGCGTGAAACGCATAGCGCCTACAAGACTGCATGAATACTTCACGCATGGCGTCAAACACGGTGCGGTCAGCGTGAAACGCATAGCGCCTACAAGACTAAAGGAAGACTTCACGCGGTTAGCACGGCGCGACGGCGGCGGAATAACCATTAACCATCTATGGCATATCGACGGTGAAACTACCAAACCACGTATCTCGGTTTGCGACGTCGCAGACTTCCTGTCATACTTTATTTTTTAAATAGAAAACTATTCAACGTCAATTTGTGAAAACTTCCGTGATTTTTCCTCTTTGTGCGGAGAAAAATCTGTGAAAATTGTAAGGAATGATAATGATTCGATCTCCTTCAAATAAATAAAATGTGAGTGGAGATTTTTAAACACCGCAAACGAGATACGTGGTCTGGTAGTTTCACCGTCGATATAGCGTTACGAATTTGTAATAACAACATATTTTCGGGGTTTTTAAAAATTGAATTTTTCCCCTGTGGCATGATTTTGCAAAATTTCATTAGTTTTTTCTTTCTTTGTAAAATTGATTCCCACAACTTTAAATTTTGAAAAAAAAAATTGGTACTCAATTTTTTTTTTATGCAAGCTACAAAATAGATTAGTGTCCCCTTGAAAGATCCAAAATTAATTCATGCCATACCTAGAGGAGGGTTACAATTATTAAACCGCATTTATGTTTGTTCTTTCATCATTTTTTCGTTCATTTCTTGAAAATGAAAGGCCTTCTCCACACAAAGATAGGTTTACGGAACTTAACTTTCGCGCAAAGTTCCGTGAACTTTTGTTAGTAGTGTTGACAGGGCTTTAGCAAAAAATTGTGCCCAAAACGAGTAAACGCGTCTTATGCACCCCTCCCCCTCCGGCACGTTCACTTGATAGCTTTTATTGATGTTTCAAAACGAATGAGAAGGGGGCGGCAAAATACAGACGGTCCGTGGGTGGCAAGTAGGTAAATCCGGCCCTGATTGTTAGTGTTTTTTTCTCGTTGAATTGCTGATCCTTACGATTTGCTCAATTGCGAAATTAAGTTTTTCAACTGCGCGTGACACCCCCCCCCCTCCTTCGGATTGAAGATAGTATCATTGCTGCCCTCCTACGTCGAGGATAATCACCTCTTTTAATGCAAAGTTTTAAATGAAAACACCGTGCTCCTTCAGTCAGCATTTGCTAAAATTTGCATCATGGAAGCTTCAAAATGCGGCCAAATAGAGCGGAAATTTCAAAAATTGTCCTGACCTGTTGAATCAAACAATTTGAAGGTATTTTGAGCCGAAAACAAAAGAACAGCAATATTTTTCCGAAGAAATAGACGGGAAATCTGCGACACGGTAGCCTTAAAATGTGTCTAGATCTTAAACAAAAAGTTGTCTTAGGAGGCCCCCCCTGACCCCGCTTTCGCCGGGGGGTATTCCTTACTTCCCCCCCTCCCCCGACCTCCCGGTAGTAGGGAGGCCAGAGCAAAATAACTCAGCTATGCCAATGAGTCAGGCCAGCTTTTTCGTTCTAATACCACAGTGTGTGCCGGTTTTAATCATTTAGAAATCAATTTTCCTAATATCTCTGAAGTTTTGAAGCTTTCACGGTAATTAAATCCATTTAATACATACCACTCGAAGCGTTTTCTTTTCCCCTGTTCGTTCCTCTTCATTGTTGGTGTGTTGGTCAACCTGGAAGGTGTGTTGTTTACGTGTTACGTCATGTGAGAGAGAAAAATATTAGGAAATCGTGTTTATGTAACGAAACAAGTCGGTTTATTGTGTTTGCCCGAAGCTTTTTCAATTATTACACCCGCAATAGTTCACATACGTTCAGATAGTCGTTGCATTTGGTTTGAGAACTTCTTAAAGCTACCAGCGGCTCGTTTACGTTAGTTTCTCGCGACTATTTCTTCTTATCAGTCCCAAGTCAACTCATCTTCTGTTGCTCACTTACTTGTTCTACTCAAAACTGAAAATGGTAGCCGGAAGAGCCCTTCATTTCGTGTTCAAAGTGGCAGATCGGACATTGACTGCCAAATTTTACCGGGAAATTCTTGGAATGAAGGTACTCCACTTACTAAAATATTCTCGCACCATGCTTACTTACTTGTAGATCCCTCGCTGGTTAAGAGACGATGGGCTTTTGTAGAGTTTCTGGACCGTATTCAGAATCACTGTCATAGAACATAACACCTCCTACCTCTGTATAATATTCCTCTTCACTTCAAGTTGTCTTATGAATGATTTACACTTCATGCAGACCAAGCATCAAAAGCACCAAAAAGTTTATCCTTCATGGCGTTACAAGACTGCTCTCAAGAGAACATAACATAGGTAGCTGTCAAAAGAGCAGCAAGTTTGCTAATTGCAAATTTTCTGAAGCTAGTCAGACCTAGTCGATCCCCTAAAGAACTATTATGCGGCAATGCCTCTCTCTGTCCTTTACATGGACATATGAAGTCAATATCCGTTTTCCCTGACCAGAGGAAGCAATGAAATGTAGCCTCTGTTGAATACATGCCTGCAAGGAGGCTGTCAAGTTGAATTCAAAGGATCAATTCAGAAAAAGTAAGAAAATTAATCATTTGTGGCATTACATAATTATCCCAGAACAAATCAAGTACATACATAATCTGTTCTGAAGAAGAATTTTTTTTAAAGTCCGTTCATTCTCTCGAGCCTGAATCATTCTCGATATTTTTGGCAGGTCTGTTTGTCTCTCAAACAGGATTTATTTTATATTTTCATTATCTTTATTCTCCTACAAGGACTGCATTTATTAAATTTCCTTTAAATTTTTTCTTTCAGATACTCAGACATGAAGAATTCAAGGAGGGTTGTGAAGCTGCTTGCAATGGGTAATGCTTTGATGAAATCTCTGCTCCTTTAGGTAGACATGATAAAAGCCAAGTCATGCACAGCATTTAACCGACTTGCAATAATAAGGAATCAAGTGCACGGACATAACTGCAGGGTATCATGGCTGAAAGAGTTGTGTTACATAATTTCAGTTTTGAGATAAAGGAACCTGCTGAAAATTGATACATATAATCTAAAATCTTAAGAAAAAATGAACCTTAACATAATGAGACAAGTTGAACTAAAATTGACCACTCAGTATTCAATGTTTTTAGTTTTTAGTTTTCCATTCATGTAAAAAATAAAATGTGTCGAGAGACTTTCAACTTCTAACAACAAATTAAGTACATATATTCCCAGGTATCTTCAATAAATTTCCTGACCTCTCAATACATAATAAATTTTCCCTTTCTCTTTCTTAATTTTTTTCTTGGAGTTGGTGAAAAATAATGTTTGCTTTTCATTTGCAGTCCTTACGATGGACGTTGGAGTAAAACCATGGTAGGCTACGGTTCAGAGGACAATCACTTTGTGGTGGAGCTGACTTACAATTACAATGTGCCAAGCTATGACCTTGGCAATGATTACTTAGGAATCACAGTCCGATCGAAACAAGCGATAGAAAATGCCAAGAAAAACGGGTGGCCCCTGAAGGAAGAGAATGGGGTGAAAGTAGTGGAAGCCCCTGGTGGTTACAAGTTTTTCTTGCTGAATGAAGAACAACCAACCAACAAAGGTATTAGAAAGAAATATTTCTTTCTTATTTCGTCACCTTCCAGCCCAAGTATCACAAGTGCCTTGCGATGTTTTAAAATTTCTGCTGCCATCCTATTTTTTTACAGAGAAATTTTTCAACGAAGCTGTAATTTCACTAAATTTTCTCTGTGCTGCCGATAAAATTCAGTGAAATTTTCAAACAGATTCAACCAACAATTTCCCTATATAAACATTAAATAGCAGCAGAAATTTTGAAATGTCACTTGTCATACTTTAGCCGGGAGGTGACGATATGTGCGATTCTGTAAACTCCACCTATTAAAATCTTGCCTGACTCTTGTAATGTTTGCAACAATATGGCTACCTTTTTAGCCAAAAACCATCAAGCTTTTCTCCAGATTTTTTCCGTGATTTTTCTCCATTATCTCAAAAGTTTCTGTCAAAATTTCAAGAAATTTTGTGCATTGGTTGATCTTAATTATCAAAACAGAAAGAAAAGATTGAAAGATTCCATGTCATGTTTAGAAAAGAAAAGCTGTTTCAGATAATTACTGCTCATTAGTTCAGTGATTTGCCTCCGCGCTGTATTTCTCCCTCTTTTACTGTTAACCTACTTCACAAGCTTCAAAGTAAATTGATTCCATTCCCCTTGAAGCTTCATGAATCAAGCTGTTCACTCTTTTTTTTCTTAGTAGTCATTTGCAGGGTGACCATTGACACTGAATCATTTTTTGGCATTAATTTAACTGGCTAAATTTGTCGGAGGAATCAGATGAAATGAAAATCCAAATAGTATTGTTTGTTTGGCCTTGGTCTTTTTTGTCTGTGGGTTCCAAATCTTTATGAAGTTCCTCTGTTTAGAGTCAATGATGCATTTTATAATCTCAACTACCGTTTTATCAGAAATTTATCAGAATATCATGACAGCATCTAATCTAAGATGCAATACCCCTCTTTCATTTTCTGACGTTCCATGGGTACTCTCTTTGTCATCACCAATTGTTTTTGTTTCAGACCCAGTTGAAAAAGTTACATTGGCAAGTACTGATCTTAAGAAATCTATCGAATATTGGAATAAAACATTGGGATTGAAGCTTTACGAAAATGACTCCAGTCATGCTATAGTTGGATTTGCTGATGATCAAGCAAAATTGGAATTGAAAGCTATCGGTAAAGTTCTCTCTAATTTATTCATAAGATACGGTTTTGCAGTTAATATGCCACGTGGCCCATTATATTAAGTTAGTATTTACTTAGGAGATTACAATTGGTATTGTGAACATGAAAAGCAAAGTTGGTGATTTTAATGGAACTCTAGACTAGGCATGATTTCAAGCACCGCTTGACATGTTTCAAACTTTTAAGCAGAATATGAAACAAGAAACAGAAAGTTCAGGAATCAACTTCTTAGCAAGATACGGACATGCACACTAATACTGATTGAATAAAACTCAAATTATAGAAATGACGTCAATAGTATCTTTTGTAAGAGTTGATTTCCAAATGCTCTTTCATGTGAATAAATTTCTACGTAAAATTCTGAGGAGACAACATGAACAGGGTGTTGTAGTTTGTATCTTGTTTAGTGTTTCATTTTCTAAGTGGTGTGGGTGCTTATCCTCAATAATGGTTGGTTACTGTCAACTTTAAAGTATTCGTTTCCAGGGAATATCATGTTTATGTATCATGATCTGAGGAAAAATCATATTGCTTAATTTTCTTGGTTTTTCTTAATTTTTTTGGGGGTGGGGAGGGTTGTCGAGGTATTTACACTCCAAAGAGTCTCTGAATTGAATGGCATTCACCATGAAATTTTTTTTTTATAGGAATATAAATTTGTTAAATTAATGCAATAGGATGTCAGGGCATTTAAATTTCTAGCAATTTTTAAGCAGATTGGAAAAAAGAGGAAAAACAATTTTTATGTCCTTCAGTGAAGAATAATCTAAAAAACATGCACTGTCACAAAATTGATTTAAGACAGCACCTGTAACTAGGGCTGTTCTATCGGTTGTCGGTAAGCTACCGAAACAGTTCCGTTAAGAAAAAGTTACGATAAGAGCGCTCTTGCCGATAGTTTTCGGAGCTGACGAAAATAAGCTGTTGCCATTTGTACATCTATTTTACGCGCCGCCGCGCCAGGCAATCTGATAAACCGACACATGGGGCAACAATGCATTGAGTGCGAGCTCTCAAAACTCCGATAAGGCCGGCTATTGTCGATATCATCGCCACTGTCGGTACTGCAGCCAGTTTCAATAAGAGACAATGTCGATAGTGTTTCAGCAAGAATTCGTTTTAACACCCCTACCTGTAACTGTAGAGGTTTCTCTTAAAACGTTTCTTTTCAATTTCTTACACTTAAGTTTCAAATTTTAAATTCATGGATCTAGCAGGTTGCTTGATACAAGGCAATAATCATCCAGAAAAAAAAAAGACACTCCGTGCTTGCTGCTTAAATTGTAGAGTATTTTAGATAAATAAATTATTGAATCAAATTCTTATGCCATTGACGAATTCCATTCCAATTTTAGGTGAGCCCATCAACCACGCTACAGCATATGGAAGAATAGCGTTTTCTGTGCCTGTGAAGGAGCTTCAAGATATTGATAAAATCATCAAGAGCACTAATAACAAAATTTTAACCCCTCTGGTGACTTTGCCCACTCCTGGAAAAGCTGATGTGACTGTCATCATTCTAGCAGATCCTGTAAGTTATTGATAATTCTTCAATACTGCGGGGCGATTATTGAAATGATATCGACTGTATGTCAGCGCTTTGTCGTGTCGCGCCATCGACTAAGCAATGGCTTAGTCGATGGCGCGACACGACAAAGCGCTGACATACAGTCGATATCATTTCAATAATCGCCCCGCTGTGGTTTTAAGATAACTTGTGGCAGTGTGACAGCAAAACTTAAGAAGATTTTTTTCAAATTCAACTGAGAAATGCTGCTTAACCTGTTTTTAGCAAAGCATTTGAAGAAGGGTATTTACTTTTCTCTCTGTCCAAATAAATCTGACTAATCTAAGTGTCTATTTTAAATCTCCCTCTCAATCGTATGATCATGTCAAGGAGCTCTTTAGATAAGAGAGTCATTCTTGAACTCAAGTGAACAAGTCTACTTTTATCCTTGTTGTGCAGCAAATCACTTCAAGTGATGGATTGAAATCATAGCAGAAACTGTTCAAGCATCAATTTTTTAAATTAATTTTCCTAAAATTACTCAGTTGAAAACAAGGCATAAATAACTAAGTGCACACAAATAACCTAGCTCTCTAAAAGTCAATCCTCTGTGGTTTCAATATTCCATTCAGTATCAATGACCTATTGTAGCCGAATTCCCTTGTTGGATCATTTGAATAAAATGAACTGATTTTGTAGTAAAGCGTACTTCATTCTTTACCCAGTTCAATATCTTCCTATTGCTATCTCATCCTCGCTTGCGGTCCCGTAATTGCGTGAAGGAGGAGCTTCTGCACTCCTCTAACTCTTAATGCGAAGAGAGCAAAAATGTCTCTTTTACACCTGATTTTCTCTTTTAAGGACTTAGTCTCCTTACGTTTCTCCCAATTTACTAAATTTCTCCTCTTCTATATTTTGCAGGATGGTCATGAAATTTGTTTTGTTGGAGATGAAAGCTACCGAGAACTTTCAAAGTTTGATCCTGAAGGAGAGAAACTGCTGGACAGATACATTAAGAAAGATGAGGAACGCAAAGCTAACTAAGTACCATTCATCTAACTTTTTTCACTCCATTTCAACGATATACGTACATCAAATTCAAGTTTAGCCCGTCTTTTCTAAAACTCTCACTTAACCGGCTGAATTGCCTTTGAATAACTGTTAATGCATGTATTCTTCTATTTTTACTCGAGCACTTTGTGATAATTGTAATTTAGGTAAGTATTTTGTATTTTTTTAACAAGGTCAATCGTATTATTGTTTTCAAAACCTTGCCTTTTTCTAAGATAAATTACCATTTCCTATAAGGCTGTATGATCAAAATTGACCCTTTTTTTAAAGTTCACACAAACAGGTATTACACAGCGTGAGCACAGAGAACAGTATTCTTTTAGTAGATTTGTCGATTATTTTTATGATGAATCTGCACAAATCAAAGTTTTATTATGCAGTAGCAGCAGAAAAAAAGGAGACCTGATGAACTTTTTACATCCAATTAGATATATACCTACTTTCTCTCTGCTTGGGTTTCTACAAAAGCTTAAGGTGGAGGTAAAAAAAATCTCGTGTAAGTACCTGTTAAGTTTGAAGATCATTCTTTCTCCTGTGCAATCAAGAATCGTTTATGTTATTTTTTTTATTTAAAAAAAAAGAATAATAATAAAATACAGTGTGAATCCGCTGAAGTAGTGTTTTTCTTGTCTTTCTCAATTTGTATATAGAGCAGAGCAGTCGAGACCAGATGCTAGTTATGTCATCTCCTTTAGAGATGCTAGGAATTTGAGATGTTCAAGAACAATCAAGGTGTAATCCTTGCCTAATTAAAAACTTTTGTGACAATTTTTGCCTAATTCAAGCGTATTTTTCAACATCTTAAGAGGGCTAAGTAATTAAAACACTTGCCGAAAGTTTAGTACATTTTTATTTTTACAGCAATAAATCTATGATAAAAATTTTTACAACAATTAATAAACACTTATATTCACAAAACTTAAAATAAAGCAGTAAAAAATTAAAGGGGGTAAAAAAACAACAGTTTCTATTTTTCCTCCCATTTATGTTTGAAAAAAAAAGAAAAAAAAAGAAATTTTACAATAATGACTTTTGGCAACCAACCCTTTTCGGTATCTTCAAGCAATATTTTAGGAAATGACAGACATATGCTATCAGAACATGACTGGAAACTGTTATTCAATTTGTAATGCAACATCAGATTTGCTTAACAGAGACTTGTAGAATTTTTGAGCAAGTACAAATGAAACCTGTCTATAAGATTCTTAAGCTTGACTTTTCGTGCAATTATTAAAATGTGTCATCGCCTTATAAGGCTCCTAAATATATTGTGGAGAATTTTGAAAATGTCCTTTTACACAATGATCGACAAAAGAAGTAAACGTTGCTGATATAATAGGAAATTACATTTTGAGCCGGGTTACTCTCAATTTTCATGAGCAAAATTGTGATAACTTAGGAAAGGGGAAAAAAGTCATGGGTCAAAAATTATGAGTAAGATGCGTCCTTCTTGAGGATTTAGATTTTCAAAAACATGGGAGGTGATAAAATCAGATTAACTAGGGTAAGATGGTATATTTAAGCGTGCCAAAGTCAAAATTTTTTTATGAGGTTTTAAATATTCTCAAATTTTCAGTTCTTGAATCAAAATTATAACCTTGTCCGTCAGTATTGCTTTATCTTCTGCCAGCCAGGGTAGAAAGCGTAACTGTGCTGCAATGTTGCTAGGGTCGCTTGGCAAGTTATCCACTTCAAAATAATATAGATACGCAATACGCATTTTGTCTCGAAGGTCAAAAGGCGTATAACTTAATTCTGAATAAATTTTGAAGTTGCGGAAAATTGCACAATCCTTGCAAGATTGAAATATACATGCAGCGTTCTTACTTAGTATGGTAGATTTCTAGGTTGATAATTCACTGAATTTTTAAATTTGCAGTTTAAGAAAAAAACACAAGAAAACAGATACTCATAGCCTTAAATTAGAGCTTAATCTACAATAGTCTACTTCATAGTACTGATTATGAAATAAATAAATTATTGATGGTTTAAAAATTAAAAACAATGCTATTCTACAAATATTACAAAATTTCTAAATGAGAGAAAATAAAATTAGTTAAAAGGTAAAGGATGACTAGATGCAAATGGCAAAGGGTCATGTCTTCTTGAACATGACGACAAATTAACAAAACATAATTAGACCTTTAAAACGATAAACAGTAAAAGATAGAGAGCAAAAAACTAACAAATACTTCATTACATTCCTGATGATTTTTTATGAGGTAAACACAGTGAATCTGAACGAGTAAAAATTACATTAAATTTCTTGAAGTGGCTGGAATTATGTTTGATATTGGTTTTTATCTTTTGTTTTTTTTGCTGTTTTTCTCTCTCTCTTTAAAGTAACTGACGTGCATTATAAAGTAGAAGAAACGTTACAAAAACTGGAACAGTCAAACTTGTAAAAAAATAAATGCATACTTTAAAATTTAAAGAGCTTCAAAAATACATTTGAATGATCCACTCGGAGAATTCTTGCTCAAAAACGATCAGAACAAGAAAGAATAGTTTTTCTAATATCCGGTTAGTTTTTTTCCATATCTTTTGAAAATAATGGAAACAAATCTTCCTTACATTTATGGCAAGTTTATCGTTGGTAAATGATAGGAAATATCAAGTAGCATGGAACAGAACTAGCTTGGTCAATAAAAATTTCATACACTATAAAATGGATTTAGAATCCAGCTGATAATTATTTTGATATGAATTTTATCATGTACCATCATTAATCTACAAAGAACAGTTCTCTTTTTCCTAAACAGTCTACATACTTAGTAATTTACAAGGAAAATTCATGAAAAAAAAAATGTCGGACAGTCAGAAAAAAGGAGCTCATTTTGCTAACAATATATGAAAATTAAAAATAAAACAAAAACAGAATTGCTGGATTCAGTGAATTTCTTTTATACAAGTCAATAGTAGGAACTGTTGATTCTATAATAATTAAGTCATAAAATTTTAGTTGCGTTACAGAAATTTGTCGTCCAGGTCATCAAAGTGACTGAAACGTGAGAAAATCATGTCAAACTTGTTAGCTGCTCTTAAAATTTAGAAGAGACTGCAGCAAGAAATGTTGGATGGCTGGTAAGTAGTTTCACTAATTTTTGGTCCCCTTGAGAATATTCCTCAACTTTTTAGAACTGTGTCAACTCCATCGGGTAGCATTGACCGAGAGGCCGAGGGGAAGGTTATTTTGTTATCATTGATGCTCTGATTATTTTCTCATTTCTCACTTACAAAGGCCAAATTGAATTATGGAGTGTAAAATTAGCCTCCATTATTAAAAAATCTAGCATAGATGGTAACTTAATAGCTAATGCAACTTTTTTTTTAATAATATCCATGGAATAGCATGGAGGAAACAATACACTCATTAAGAATGAACCTATTTATGATGAAAAGGTCTTTCCCATGAAGATGATATCCACATAACATTACAAAAAGAATAAAAAATTAATGAGATCAGCGAAAAAAATTAAGATCCACAGGTAATACGCGATTTGACTTAAATAACTTACACTGACAAAGTATCCAGAGAAATTAGGTGGTATGGTATCATAGTAACTTCAAGACATAGATACATTAAAAAATAGTAACAATCAAAGTAAAGTAGTAAATAAAATACAGACAGATATTTTAAAAAGTCAAATTACACTTGAGTCGATTAAAATTGATACGTAAGGTTGATCAAGGATTGATCGTTACAAAGTCTTGTGAAAAACAAGAAGCACCGATGAGACAGAACAAAATGGAAATTTTCATGGGTAAAGTTAAGCATTTGACTCTTTTAAATTATCAAAATATTCCATGATCTGTTGATAGTCCATACCAAGATTTAGATCTTCTAATCCTATTAAGTCATCTTTATTTTTGTCTGATGCGGTGTCATTTAAGGAAAACATGGGATTTCCGACGATAGTTGCTCTTTTCACCTCTGATGGTGGACTAGAATATTCTACAAACTTTGCAGCTGCAACACTTGACTCTGTTTCAGCTGCTATTGTATCTTGTTTTTCACTGCTGTTTTGTTTCTTTACGTTTTTTAATTGATCTATATGGCGAGGATGACATGATTCATTTATGTTTCGATGTCGATGATGATGGTGATGATGATGATGATGAGATTTGTGCGATTTTTCTTTCGGTTGTTCAGTGACTGAGTCCACATTTCGATGCTTCGAACTTCGAGTGTTTCGATGTGGAGGAACAGGAGGCCTGTATTCACAATCTTCTACTGAACCCTCAAGTGGAAGTGGGGGCAAAGGTGGTAAACTGTCAAACAAAAAAAAAAAATGTTTGATTATTGACATGAAACAAAAGTACCTTCATTTTTTCGGACAAATTGGACATTGCCCAGTGAACATAGACTCTCAGCAAATACAGCGTGCACTTGTAAGTACATAGATGCAAAATTGTATTGTCTCTGAAACTAACAAAGATAGATGAAATCGGCAAACAATTTCTCACTTCTCATACTCCCAGCCCTCTGAAAATTCCTCGTTTGTAGTGTATTTTCATACACTAGTTTTTAATTTGGTCCCCTGATTCTTGAAGGACATCACTTAAAAAGCTTAAGTTACATCAGCTAAAGAAAATCATTTTTGGCTCCCTAATGCTTTCGGAAATGAATCAACATTTACAAGAGAATATTACGTATTTTGATGAAGAAAAGGAAGTCATAAGATGAACTTACATTTTAGAGGAGGTTTGATGCTTCTTGTTTTTCTTGCAGTAGGTTTTTGAGTCAATTTGAGGAGGAGGAGCGATGTTTTGTTGTGAGGGAAGCTCTACATGATTTGGATTATCAAAACAGGTGCCCAGCTGCAAGTCAACATCTGGATTGGGCGCAGCGGCATATGTTGGATTGGAAGTGATCCTAATTTGCTTGTTGATATTGGATTTCAGTCTATTGGCACTGGCTGGAATCAACAGGCCAGACGCTCTTTCAAGGGTTGCACGCCCCAGCCAAACCCAGTCATGAACGTTTGTTGTGGGTTCCTCATGGTCCCTCTTCATGTTCATCAACCCATTGCCAGAAGTATGGTTGTTTCCCAAGACTGGTATTGTTTCCGGTAGGTGGTCAGGCATATCATTAGGGTGAGGCTTAAATTTAGAGGCGTAAACAACGCAGGAAACAACAAAAACTACGATGGCGAAGCAGAATGCAGCCAGTAAGACGTACATTCCAATTTCAAGCGGCGACAGGTGAACGTTTCCATGTCTACGTGGATTCATGAAAGAGTTGTGGTGCTGCCTTGCTTGAACAGTAGGTTCGTGGTTGTTCTCATCCTTTAATGGTAATCCTGAAACAGCCCAAAAAAATAAAAAATGAGCAACAAGAAATAATGATAAGTACTTTGTACTAATTGCTTCGTACTTCAAACAGTTGTTGGCTTAAGATCGGCCAGATTTTAATTAGCTTTTTCTCCCCTACAATATTATTCTTTTAATTTTCTAATGAGCTCCATGGTTTTTTCAAGAAATTCTACATGAAAGTGACAATACTATAACGCTGGAAAAATTCCTTGCCACTGACTCATGGTCTCTCATAAAGTGAAAGTAAAAGTATTGTTGTCTGAATGAATTTTTTCAGAAAACCTTAGATGTTTCACATTACTCCTGGTTAAACGATGGAGAGGAGGAAAATGTAAAAAAATGAACTTTTATTAATTATTGTGATTGCTTTTAAAATCCCACAGAGGCACTGATTACGTTTTCAACAGTAATCGCCTCTCTTACTACCCAAAGTGATTTAGAAATGAATGCTTTGATCTGATTCATGATTTGGGAGAAATTAAAAAGAAAGAAGTAAACACATTGCCCATTACTCACCGATCAAAATGTCATTAAGATCTTCCTTGTGCAGTTTTCTCTCTTTGACGCTGCTTAAAGAGCCACCATCATTTTGAACGAATTCAGGACGATCATTTGGGACGAAATCAACTTGAACGGATGCAGTGGCTGTTGCCAGGGGCGTACTCCTCTGTAACTGACAAACCTCAGCAGGTAGCAAAATGGTTTTGAGCAGCTGACCGCTTCCTGGTCCAACAGCAATGACTCGCGGATGAGAGGAAGTCACAAGAGGAGCAAAAGCAACAACCTCAGGTCGAAGACTTTCAACTTGCAAAGAAAAATCCGATAGAGAAATGTCTTGGAGAGGAGTTCGCATCCCATCACTAAACTCCAGATCAATATCTAGTAGTCCCTCCTGAAAAATTCAATGCAAAATATAAAGAAATTAGAGAGGATAATAGGCAGCTATAAACTGCTATAAATTAAGGAGTTGTATCTATTTCATTTCTCAATGAAAAATAGAGTAGATTTTGCTCAACAAAGAACGAATTTTGAATGATAATGAAAGTCCGATCAGGACCTGAGAATAGTTAGGAGGAAAAGAGAGGTCCGATCAGCCCAAAACATTTCCTTTTACCACTTCCCAAACTTTCACTTTAAACCAACTTTTTGTTGGTTATAAAAATTCGGCATTTACTAGTCAAATTATGTAAAAATATTGCCATTCCATGGTAAAAAATTTTCAATTTTATAGCAATAAATCACAATTTCATTCCTAAAACTAGGGGTTCCGTGCTGCCTGCAGCTACAGCCAGGGAGAAGAGGGCCCACGCTGGACCTGATTTTCGAAGTAATTCAATGAAACCACAGTACAATAAAAAGAAGATTTTGTTTTTCACCTCCTCTACAGATACCAAAGTTTGATCGAATCTGAAATTAAGTCCGCTGGCATAAATTTACCTGATATTGAGCGGTTAGCTTCCTGGTCACAGACGTCTGAGCGATGAAGCCATTGTCTATGCTTGTATCAGGAGTAATGGATAACTGCAAGCCTGAGACAACATGAACTCGCATTCGAGTGAGACTGACTTTGTCACTTGTTACACTGATATCAGTTGAACCTAAAACTCTTCCTGTGATCGGTGACATCACCTACAAATAAAAATAGAAGGTACCATGAATATACAAATCTTTATTACTTAAAATAAAAAATGCTAGCAGAGCAATCAGGTAGGTAATGGTACCTATAGACTCTTTTAAGTTCTTGCCTTTTGTGGTTACAAAATGTGTAAAGAGGTTGAATCTGCATCAAGTTAAAGAATAAATGTGAAGTTTTTACCTTCGCATTTAACTTCATTCAAAAGTAAATATGAGACATTTTGACAATTTAAAAAAAAAAAAAAAAATTCAGACCATCTTTCTAATATTTTTGGATAATACATACTGGATAAACTTTTTTTTGTTCATTCAAAAATGACAAGATTGCAGATATTGTTTGATAACATTTTGAACAAACTTAAAAAAGCAAAATAAAAATAAAATGAGAGACATTTTTAATTAAATACCTAAATTTCCTTATTTTGCAGAGATATTCTTACTCCACTTTTCCAAAACTAATATTTTCTTTAATGATATTTTAAAGCAGCTAGGTAAAGAAAACTGTCAAGAGAATTCCGGAGCTAATTACCTGGACTTTGGTTCTACCCACACTTCTTCCTTGTACAATTTTTCCTTGCAGGGTAGCTATTCTGGGATCTGATACTCTTAAATATGGAATGACTAAATCAGTCACAGTAAGCCATGTTTGCCGTGATACAAAATAACTGACCCTCCCAGAGTTATGGTCGGTTGCAAGAAATCTTGCGTAAACCTGAGAAATAAAAAACAAGAAGATGAATATAGTGCAGGGAAAATGAAGAGCATATCCTACTCACAAAATGAACATGATTGTAGAATTTTATTCTATATCCTACCACTAAAAAAAGAGAGGGAAAATAAAAAGAAAAAATCTGGGGGAAAATCCGAAAAATGTTGCAACTCCGAATCCTATAAATTTAGTGGATGGTAGAATGCCTTGGATGCTTGTTTAATTTTTTTGTTGTAAAAGTCATTTAATTGAAAGTTTTTAGTTTCTTGGAGCAGTCGTTTGCAAAAGTTGCTTAAAACTAATATGAGGGGTGGAGATACCAAGGCATGCAAATTTTGCACTTAGGGTGTTTCTTTTTGACATATAATTTTCATGGGTTCATTTTTGGTCTATAAAAATTAATTGCTTCATACACTCAAAAATCTCTCTGTCTCACTCTCAATACATTCAGAGCCAGGCATAATTTCATAATGATGGTGGAAAAGGTAAATGTAGGCATACTCCATTACCTCTACTGGACTTTGCTGGAACCGCAACCTACAGGGGCTGTTTGATTTTTCTGAGTCGATGGAGTTGCCGATATCTTCTGTTACCACAGTGTTGACATTTACTCCACCGATTGACGCCACATTGGTCCAACCACTGTGCTTTTTACTCTTGGCACTCGTCTCATCTGAAGACCGCTTTGTTTTCATTGAGCTGTAAATATTAAAAGGAGGAAACATGAATTCAAGTGCGTATTACAACAATGAAAGATTGAAATAATTATGATTCCCCCCCCCCCCCCCCCNGCGCCTCCCATGGTTTCGGTAATTCCTGCTTAATAATTGGCCATTAAAAATTGTAAAATTGACTGACTTTACGGTTCGTTTTTGGTTCCTCCTTACGGATACAGTTTTAGTTGTAGGCACGTTAGTAGGTAAGTGATCATTAGAGACGTACCTACGTAAAAAAATCAGGGAAAAAATGCTCAGATAGTTTGCCGCAAATGATGCAACGATTCGACCTCTGAGGTCACGCACTCACGTGCTGTCTCCGAATATACCTCTTGTGAAGAAAAAGGCGCCAAAAAGAGCGCCTTCTTGTTGAAAAAGTAACACCCAAAGGATGATTTTCTATCAAAAGAGGTTTCTGTTGCCCCCATATCGATGCCTTTACATCTTCGTCCCTATTTTCCTGCCCCTCTCTCCCCTCTTTCGTCTCATTTCCTCCTCGTTTTCTTCCTCTTCTGTATCCTCCTACCTCATTTTTCTCTTTTCAATTTTCTCCAATTCCCTTTTTTTCTTCCTTCCTCTCTCTCCCCTTTCTCAATCCTTTTGGCGCCTGGTTCCGTCTCTTCATGAACTTTCGCAAAGGCACGGCATAGGATTTCCGATTTAAACGCGAAAGACGGATGCGTAGACATTTAAAACAAAAGAACAATAAAAATAAATTTGTAAATTGAATGAAAGAGAACTTCATTTTTACCTTGTAGGGTTGGACTCTGAAGGAACTTTCCAGCCTTTAATTTGGCTGAGTTTGAAATCGGCAACATTCAGATCGAGAGGAAACTCGGGCATCCATACGACGAATTTTGCTACCCCGATGTACGTGTCATACTTGACCAAAACCGACGCATTTGAAGATCCTCTAACCTCGGTTCCATCCACGTAGACTGAGCTGCAGGAGGACGATACCTGGAAATTCAAACAGAGGGGTTTAGATTGACCTTAGAATAAGGAACTTAAAAAATTAAAGCAAAAAAAAGCTACAAGCCCACATCAATGAATACGCACTCTAACCGAGTTCCTCAACAGTTTAAAAAAAAAATACAAAACCGAGAGGAAGGGATGGAATCTCCATGAATTTAAAGCATTGTTGTCAAAGCACCTGCTCATTTTACAAGTTTTGATGTCGACAAAATTATTGATCAAATGCATCAATTGGACGTATATCTACCAAACAGACCTATGTGCAAGTGAGAAATATGGGGTGTGCTCGTTAGTTTTCTTTGCGTAAGAGTGAATGAGAATAATTGTGCGCCAGTGACGTCAGCGGCAACGAACGAGCGCCGCGCCGGCACAACGGGGAGATCGTTGGAGGGAGTCTTTAACTCATGAGCCCTGTCCACAAGGCTCTCTTGCCATGCCCGCGGCTCATGATTGCCACATTCAGTTGGCACATAGGTCTGTTTGATAGAATGTAATATTCCGCTTTTCAAATTCTTCAAAAGGAATCACGCCCATTTTTACATTGCTTCTTATGCAGCTTCAACGAGCACACCCCATCTTTCTTCTCACCTCCACATAGGTCTGTTTGATAGAAATACGTCCAATTGGGAGCTGTTAGACAGAGGTGTAAGATGTTTTTTTAACGGGCTGTTTAAACATGCGGTTTGAGTGGAATACCGAAGTATTAAGGTAATATATTTGGTTAAAGATGTTGTGATACACGAGCACGAACACGGGTTGATCAGATGGACGAAAAAAGCTCGTAAATTGGAATAAAAAGTGTAACTACCGACAAAATGGGGTCGTTTCTCAAATGATCGAACCTCCCGGAAAGATACTCTCATTTTTATTTATTTCCCTTCTAGGTATATTATACATTTTTATGTCCGAAAGCGCGGGCAAATGTCAAAATCGGAGCCCCCATTTATGTATAGGTACGTCTGTTGCATCAAAAAATGAAGTTCCCTCACGGTGGAATGAATATTTTTTATCATCCAAAGCATGGCTGTTCGAAACTACTTACTTCTAGGGGGAAATACTTAACTTCCCCCTTTTTGAACATCGCGTATAATTTAACTGAGTGCGATTCTAGAAATACCGTCGAAGAGACGATCCATTACATTTCCAACGAGGAGGGGGAAGAATTAGGGAAAAAGTAATTTCGGGGAACGTGCCACTTTAAAAAGCCACCATTAACTTCCTGCAGGAACATGTCAGGGGTGCAAAAATCAGCAATAGGTCGATGCTGTGACACAACTGGATCGAGTTTAATAGGCAGCTTTTCCCCAAATTTTTTGAACTTCAGTAACTCGAGATACCTTGGACTCCTACACATAGGACTTTAGAGGAATTCATATGGGTTTTTCTCTTTTTTTCATTCTTTCTTCTGAATGTGGAGAATAAAAGGTATAGGGACTTGAAGAGTTTGATTTTCATAGGACAAGAGTTTCTAAAATGCATTTTCTACGTGACGTGTCAAAAAAAATAAAATCCTACCATGTTAAGGCCACTTCGAAACTGATCAAGTTCCATTGTTTCACGTTTAGTAACTAAGTTAAGAAACTAAGAAGAAAAGAGTTAGATTAAAATCTTTAACTAGCAAAAACTTCGTAATTATTCCCGGCTTGAAAGTATAACTGTCGATGGACGCTCAAACCGAGACTCGTCGTTTTCCAACCGCTGGATTATGGAAATCCTTCAATCAACGCTATAGGCAATCTTACCTACGCGAGAGTGCATTGTTTTGTATTTACCAGTTGCGCTGATCATATTTTTATTCATCTAACTCTAAGACGTGTACAACCTTCAAGAGGCTTTAGGTATCGTTGTACCTTCGTCTTGCTTGATTCACACAATATAAGATACCGTCAGAAAAAGTGACAGATAGTTACAAGAGAAAGCCTTATTGCATTGAGTGGGTATAAATAGGGCTTTCGTATCCTCGCTCAGTCAGGGTTTATTTCTCCGGGAGCACGCATGTTCCTCTGCTCTTTCAGCGGCGCAAGATTAATTTCGGATAATCCCTCTGAAACTCGCCTGGAGGCGGCACGCTACGCCACGGAGCATAAAAGACGGCGTAAAAAAGGAGGAAAGGATACTCGAGAGACAGGACCGAGGGAAAGAGGGAATCTCGAAAAGAAATGAGCGCCGAATAATGAATGCTTTAAAATCATTAATTCAGGATGAAATTGGAGTTCTGCGCCCAATTCTATGCTCCCGCTCCCCCGCCCGCCCCCGCACAAAAATAAACGAGAATTATTTGTCATTTTTATGCACCGAGGCGTTTACGAAAACGGACGAGGCGGAACGGGGGAGGAAGGAATAACAACTTTTTTCCTGGAAACCGGGATGGAGGAGTTTTTCAGCGTGTTCATTGCTTTCTGCCTCGAACTTCTTCATAAATTTGTGAGAATGCTTTATGCGTCGAGCAAAGGCGCTCGTCTTGAGATACTGCGAGGATCTCTCAGAGGTGCTATCTGCTAGGATCCTCGAGGCATCCTCCTGTCTTATTCTTCGTCGGGAACAATCTTGCGGCGAAATGACAAACTGCCACGAGATCCGGATGAGAGGTGAAATGGATCCAAGAGAAAATGAATACCTAGGAAGATTCCGAGAGGGAAGAGAAATCTATGTTTCTACAAACCGAACTGTTTTCCTGGGGAATCGTTTGAGATCGAAAAGAAAGACGCAGATTGGATTGTCGTTAAGCGTGCCAGCGGTTTATAGCAGAAGGGTCGTGACAACATGTTTACCTTTCAAGATATCACGAAAAACTGCCCACTGGTCTCATTACTTTCCATATAATTCGCACATTTTGGCGAAGATTAACCGACTGAAAAATCGTGATCTTGCAGGCAAATGCTACTTTACGAATCAATGAACGCGCAGGGAATTTCGTACTTTTCAGTACTTTATTACAAAACACGCGTGGTATGAAGGAAAAAATTCCGGACCTTCTTGCGGGATTTCCGCACTTTTTTACTAGTTCCGGACCGACCTTAAAAAATCAGTACCATTTCCGGACTTGCCGGAAATTCTGTTCTAGTAGGCACCCTGGTTTATGGCCCGTTTTTCTAGTTTCATCACCTATATTATATTTGTACTTCGTCAGTTCTACCGGGGGGTTCACGCAACTACCTCCTCCGATACCTGCGGGCCGATTATTGAATTTGATAGACAAAGCTACAGACAAAGAAGACACGAGGCGCATAGAGCGATCCAATTGGTTGAAATGGGTGGTTCTTATAGACTAAGGGGGTAAATGATGGACTAACTATCGGGTCTCTCGTGGGTTCCCGTTAGTTAGTGTATTACCTATAGTCCTTTGTCCACTGCAACCACCCACATCCACCAATAGGATCCCACCATAACCATTTCGTCTCCTTTGTCTATTGCTTAGTCTATCAATTTCAATAATCAGGCCGCTGCGCGATGGGATGAAGCCTTCCGAGCTGATAAATCCGCCCTCCAAGAGACGAGTGCAGCGACGAGAATCCCTGAGCAGATAGAGTCGTCGAGTAAGGAGTTACGATAGATAAAAGCGGGTGTCCCATCAAAGGACACCGACGACGCGAGGAAGCGAGACACGTCTGAGGATATTAAAAGTTCGGACAAGTTGGCAAAAGCTGGGTTAATTAAACTCAACAAGCACAAAAACTCCTCCATGAGTAAGTCTGGAGCTGGACCAGTCCGGCCGAGCCTCGCAATCCCGCATGTCTCTTTCAAGCCACGCTCCCACAGACGGCGCGCGATAAGGAGTTGCGCGCCAAGTCAACTGCACGTGCACGATAATGCCGCATAGAGTAACTTTGTGGAGAGAGCCTCGAAAATAATAGTGCAAAACCACGAATCTCCGTTTGCGACGTTGCAGACATAATTAATATTATAATTAATATTGATATATTAATATTTATTAATATTTAATATTAATAAAATTAATTAATTACTAATACTGTTGATTATTAATATTTTAGGTTTGGTTCCTTATATTTTCTCTTGTTCTGCACATTTTGTGTTTTCTGTTAGTTTTGGATTTCCTTTTTGGTTGGGTTTTTTAATTTTGGGTTGATTTAACTTGGTTGGTCATACTTTATTTTGTCTTTGAAAAACAGTCAACTTCATTTCAAGAAAATTGATTATTAATATTTTAGGTTTGGTTCCTTATATTTTCTCTTGTTCTGCACATTTTGTGTTTTCTGTTAGTTTTGGATTTCCTTTTTGGTTGGGTTTTTTAATTTTGGGTTGATTTAACTTGGTTGGTCATACTTTATTTTGTCTTTGAAAAACAGTCAACTTCATTTCAAGAAAATATAGTCTTCTGATTTCTTTTTCTCGATTCATTCTTATCTTGAAAGTAGCTTAATACATCGAAGAAATTTCAAGTTGTATAGTTGACTTCTTTCTCTTCGAAAAAATGAAATAGGAGAGAGATTTTGAAATACTGAAAAGGAGATACGCGGTCCCAAACTTTTGCCAACGGTATGGAGACTGGGTTTTACGAAAACCCCCAGAAAACACAACAAATGGAGACGACTTTGGGCGGGAGGGGGTTGTGGCCAACCTTCAAAAATGTATCATCTTCTGGACTTTTTGCCAACCTTGCCATAGTAAAGGCCTGGGTTGAAAATATATTTTCCAATGTAATGCAAGATATCGATTTTAAAACTGAGCAAATACGCCGAAGTATGTAAAGTGAATAAAATTCACCTTGAAACGAACGAAACCGATCACTTTGAATGATCTGCAAGGGACGTCCGTCATTTTTTGGCGTTCCTAAGAGCTCGATACGGCTTAAGATAGCTACACCAATCAGAATTGAATCCTCCAGTAGCCACAAGTACGCTCACTCTTGCGCCTTTAGTGCCGCCGGACCGGATACTATGATTTTGAACTAACAGATGGCGACGCAAACTGCCTTTTGAACGGCATTAAGCTTTAGCAAACTGACTTGGCCCAGCAAATTGCGTCGCGAGCCGCCTGTGGAAGCACGGCTCTAGAAATACCGGCGTGCCCGACTAAATACTGAGAGAGACAAATCTCTGAACCCTGTCGCCCGCGAAACGTCACCCGTCGCTCCACGTTGAGCAGCTCAAGAAAGGGACCAAGGAAAAGAGAAAGAAAGACGGAGAGGGGGAGCCAAAGTCACGAACTTAATTCCTCTACGTCGCCACCCCAGCCGCCCCTACGATAAAAAATACAGCGGGTGCAGTGCTGCCGTTATAAGGAAAAACGCCCTATGGACGCACGAGGGCGGTCAAGTTTCTTCCGATAAAAACCGAATTTTCCTTACGATCGGAAGGTATTGGACTCTATTTTGCTCTGACTCGGCTTGAAAACAACGTAAGAACCATTTGTTTTCCTATGCACATATGCATTTTTACAATCGAGCCAGTAATTGTAGTTCTTGATTGAAAAATGAGGTCAATTTCATAACTATCTCGATCAACATGGTGCGGGGGCGGTCAAATTTCTGCCGATAAAAACCGAATTTTCCTTATGATCGGAAGGTATTGGACTCTATTTTGCTCTGGCTCGCTTTAAAAACAACGTATGTATCATTTGTCTCCCTGTGCACAAATGGGTTTTACGGATGAGCCAGAAATTTTAGTTCCTGCATGATTGAATACTGAGGCAACTCCATCACTGTTTTGATCAACATGAATCGATCCGGGATATATTGAAAACTGAAGCAACTTCATCACTGTTTTGATCAACATGAATCGATCCGGGATATATTGAAAACTGAAGCAACTTCATCACTGTTTTGATCAACATGAATCGATCCGGGATATATTGAAAACTGAAGCAACTTCATCACTGTTTTGATCAATGAATCGCCGAGCCGGGATATATTGAAAACTGAAGCAACTTCATCACTGTTTTGATCAACATGAATCGATCCGGGATATATTGAAAACTGAAGCAACTTCATCACTGTTTTGATCAACATGAATCGATCCGGGATATAGGTAAAACATGTACCCATCGACACCGATTCGATCGACTGATCCGTGAATCGATCAAATTTTTGCTGGCCAATCTACTCGGTCTGGATTGAGTCGCTGCCAATCGGTTTCGGTTATTATTTTTGAGTTAATCGAAACGGTCCCCTCCCTTTCTTTTTGAAATTTTCACAGAATATTCGTCATTTTTACGAACAAGAACATAACTCTATTCCGATGTTGCAAAATTGACTTAAACAATTCACTTTTTCACAAAAATATTATTGTAAAATTTCTGTCCAAAATTTTGCGTTTCATCCGGGAAAAACCGGTTTTTACAGTCAGAAACACCTAACAGTTTTCTGGCAAAAATACAATTAGCGACAGAACAATTATCAACTTTGGAATGCAGGTGCGTTGTTCCGCCTGAAGGACAACGTACCCTTCACATGGTAATCTGATTTTTCCGAACATTCCGAAAAAGAAAATTTGTAAATTTCCTTGAAAACACAGAAATTTGGCAACATTCGAATGCTTGTACGGCGTTTTTCCTGAGCGTGGCGGAGCGACGGTGGCCGCGCGTCGGCAAACAGAGCCGCGTCGCCATGACAACGGGGGCATTCGGACGAAAATCTTCCGCCCGCTATATCACTGCCCCCATCGATATGTGTAAGTACACATATTATTTTCCGACTATATTCGAATCAAATCCAGCCAATCTCGCGGCGTGAAAACTCATCCGCGGCGAGGACAAGCCCGGAATCCCAAGCTGGAGCGTGGTTATCGCCGCGAGGTCCTGCTGGTGGTGTCGCACCGATTTGAAGGGGCTTCTATTACAATCCCTAGGAAACTTAGGCTCCTATTTTTAAACCCGAAATAAAACGGGAAAAATGATACTGTGATGTCGAATAGGTGATTGGTTACCGGTTGATTTTCCTGGAGATCTTGATAAATGGATTGCACTTTTCAATTGGGAGCTACAATCTCTGGCTCAGTTCAAAAACCACGTGCGTGACGTTAGTTTCCCTCTGCACATAAGTGTTTTATGGGTGATCCAGAAATGATAGTAGGTACCTCATTGCAAAATGTAGTCCAATGTATTGCTATCTCTTTTGCAAAATGAATCAGGTGAAAAAATTTGGGAACCAACCTGCGTTCATGGAACGCTATAATCGGAGCATCTATTGTTCACAGGAGCTACATGTAACATGATTAAACCATGAAACACATGGTCGGATCTAGGAGGTGGCCACATGGACCGCGGCCCATGGCGGAAAATTTTGCAATTTTTTTAAATATAGGTATAAAAAAAATCGGATTCAGAAAAAAAAATTATAAAGGAGAAAAGGTGACTAAAGCTCTCATTGTCTGAGAGTATAGTAATTTCTAATTTTGTCGTCTTTCGGTGATACAAGAGACAATACCTTTAATTAGTCGAGTTAAGAGAGATACCAAACACGCAATTTGGCCTGGAACGGCGCGACGCAAAGAGCAATGATGACAAGGACTTGAAGGAAAAGGATAAGCCCTCGGCTCGATGGCCGATCGGCATGCAATACATATTAGCGCCTACAAGACTGCATGAATACTTCACGCATTGCGTCAAACACAGTGCGGTCAGCAGCGGTCGGCGTGAAACGCATAGCGCCTACAAGACTGAATGAATACTTCACGCATTGCGTCGAACACAGTGCGGTCGGCGGAAGTAAAAATTATTAAACCGCATTTACGTTTGTTCTTTCATAATTTTCTCGTTTAATACGGAAGGCGTTGTCCACATAGAAATAAGTTTACGAAACTTGACTTTCGCGCGAAGTTCCGTGAGCTTTTGCTGGTAGTGTTGACAGGGCTTTCGCAAAAAATTGTCAAACACAAGTAAGCGCGTCATATACATCCCTACCCCTCCGGCACATTCACTTGATGGTTTTTGTTGATGTATCAAAACGAATGAGAAGGGGGGCGGCAAGTAGGTAAATCCGGCCTTGATGAGACGCTTAAATCGAATCCTATATACATAAATCATTTTGATTTAAATAATGTGTGAAAAGTTCATTGTAGCATTAACACGTCCAATATATATGTTATATTTTGGTAAGGGCAAAGTTTCCAAACCTTTAGATTCCTAGGGTAAAATGCATTTTTCCGACGATTACTCATCAATATAAGTGATGGGCTGGAGAATTTTAAAAAAATTCGATTGGTAGCAAAACATTGTGCTTCTCAGCTTTTTTTCGATGCACATACACATTATTTTGAAATTGAAAGCGGCTAGTGGCTAAAATAAAAAAACTTAAGTAAAACCAGAGATGTAAAAAAGTATTTCAACTTTTGGACAGGATTTAACTTTTGAAATTTGCATTGTGTGGTTTAAAATATGGCTGATTTTGTAACTGATTGCGACATATAGATTGAGACACTAACAGTAGATGATCAGGGGCGAAGGTTGTGTAAAAAGGAAATTTTCCGGATTATTATTTTTTTTTCTTTGCATATTATTACTATTGGAGCAATTAAATATCCCCCACATTACTATAATATTGAGAATTCATCCTAGTCAACAGAAAAGTTGAATAATTTCAATAATTGGAAGTGTCCGGGTCCAAAAATTGCGGAACCTACCTTAATGAGGGACTCATCAAATCATAACTGGATTTTCACCTACTTTGTGAATACGTCAAGAACGGTGAACGGGTTGACAAGATTATTTGCGAGGTTTAGCTCGACAAAAAGCAGGGGTGGTGCGGTTGGAGACGAGTGCTGCCGTGCTAAGGAAAAACGCCGTATAAAAATTCAAAAGTTGCCAAATTTCTTCCGATAAAATGTTCATTCCTGAGGAAAGTTATGACTATTTGCCCCTGATATTTTCAGACGTTTTAGTTGAAATTACGGATGATATCATGTGAAAAATCGCAGGAGAGATATTAAGGTGATTCGATGGACGCCATATTTTGTGTCAGAACGGCATGCGAAATATCGCATCAATTGGTTCCATTTTTTCAGCTATTCGTCATTTTTCTCCAATTTTGAGATCGCAATTCTGTTGTCAGGAGACTAAAGCATTCACTTACCAATTTTAACAAAGAAATTCAACATAATATAGGCGTGGTTTTTTTAGAGAGAAAATATCGCATTCGAATGCAGTTTCGATATCAATATCGAATGCGATGTTTTCTCTCTAAAAAAAAACCACGCCTTTGGTACGTTGAACTTTTTTGTTAAAATTGGTAAATGAGTGCTTCAGTCTCCTGACAACAGAATTGTGATATCAAAATTGGAGAAAAATGACGAGTAGCTGAAAAAATGGAACATATTGATGCGATATATCGCATGCCGTTCTGACACAAAATATGGAGTCCATCGAATCACCTGAACAGATTTTCCTGAAAATTCGTGATTTTCGAAGAAAATTTGGCAACGCCTGATGGCTCATACGGCGTTCTTACTCAGCACGGCGGAATAAGCCGAGCCGACAGCCCTCGTTCCCTCGGTTATTTTATAATTTGGTGGAGTCTCGGGGTGGATTCTTATAGGGTGGCGTTAAAGCGACACTGCTGAGGTAGAAGATTCGATTAGAGAGTAATTATGAAGGAAGCTTCATTAACCTTACCTTGAGAACGCTTTCGTCATCAGAATGACAGGTTGACTGGAGCGTAACGTCGGCAACTTTGCCCGCTTGGCTCACCGTGAAAACTTTCATCGCCTGGGAGACTTGTCGCCCCGTCAGGACGGCCGTGTTCACCACATTCCAGTTCTGAAACAGCAGAATTCCCCTCTCGTTAGCGAATCAGTTAAAAATCGAAGATAAGCATCAGAATCAGATTCGAATCACAAATGGACCGCATTTAGCAAAACGGAACCAAGAGCATTGCAATGTTGCTAAGATTCTGCAACTTCATCCGTTGCAATAGTACTGAAACCATGAAAAAATATGAAATTTACATGGTAATTATTGTCTTAAAGTTATAGTTTATGAGGTGTAAAACAGGAATTGTTCACAAATGATCAGGTTTTTCTTTCAAGACGAAATAAGTAGCAGAATTTTAGCAACATTGCAATGCTCTTGATTCCTTTTTGCAAAATGCAATCCAAATCATTCATTCACAAAATCTCGAATAAGAAAAATGGTGATTCATCATTGTTCATCCCAAAGGCATGACTGAATCGATGACAAGTCATTTAAAAACGGTTAATCCTTAAAAAGTTGATCTTAGGCGGTTGTTAAGCGTGCATTAATTTTTTCCTTACGGCTGAATAAAAAATACGAGGAGCTGTCAATCGCTAAAATACACTAGAAAAAAAACACATTGGATCTAGAGTCCAGACTCTTAAAAACAACGACAAGAAAAAGTACTCTTCATTCAATCAGAATCTAGCTTAAATCAAGAACCGAGCCTCTTAATTTAAGCGGGTTTCGTTTTGATTGAAGCAAAAATCCGATTGAATCAATAGTATTTTTTCTAGCCAATGTTTTTAAGAGTCTGGACTCTAGATCCAATGTGTTTTTTTTTTTTTCCAGTGCGGTTAGGAAAAATCGTGATTCATCATAATTTATCCCAAGGACATGGCTGAATCTATGACAAGTCATTTAAAAACGGTTAATCCTTGAAAAGTTGATCTTTGGTGGTTGTTAAGCGTGTGATAATTTTTTCCTTACGGTTGAATAAAAAATACGAAGAGCTGCCAATCGCTAAAATATTCAACTGATAATGGATGAAAGAAAGAGCAGTTAACATTTACAGGTGACCATCTGTAAATACTGTCACGGACCATCCTTTTTTCTTCGGAATCTTTAATTCTTTTTGTGAAATTGACAACTCACGAGCCCTCAATGTGATATTCAGGGTTGAGCCAATTTTTTCCTTACGGCTGAATAAAAAATACGAAGAGCTGTCAATCGCTAAAATATTCAACTAATAATGGATGAAAGAAAGTGCAGTTAACATTTACAGGTGACCGTCTGTAAATACTGTCACGGACCATCCTTTTTTCTTCGGAATCGTTTATTCTTTTTGTGAAATTGACAACTCAGGAGCCCTCAATGTGATATTTAGGGTTGAGCCAAGGTAGTCTCTTCATTTGCATCTAAATCAGATCATGTATGTAAAAGAAACGGCTTACGCGTCACAGGCAGAGCGCAACCCCCTCTTGAGGGGATGATGATGGCGGGGGCGAAGAAATGAAGGGGGGAGTAACGGGGAACAAAGAGCAAGGAGCAGAAGTTAGGCTTAGAGGTGAGCGTTGAGGAGAGGTCCTTGGAGGTAAAAGTAAGAGGAGAAATGATTTGTTTTGTGGACGTTCGCCGCGCCCGCCACCGTACCGCAAACCCCTGTTCGTAACCTTTGTGTAGGGGGTCGCTTTGCAAAATCTACCCTTTTGAAGTTTGCACCCTACATTCGGATAAAATACACGATCAAGGGGTATTTTTCACAATGGTGTATAGTAAAACGGGGTATTTGAAAAAAAAAAAAAAAAAATTAACCTCTTGCAATTGTATTTCAACGCATTTCGACCAAGTAGAAAGGGTCAGTTGCCTTGGTCACAGTATCGTGTTTTGATGCTCGACTCTTATAAATCACCTAAAAATGATAGGATCTGTCCAAACAGTAACTCTCGACGTTCTATAGTTGTATTTTATTCGGAGCCAACACTCGCAACATGTTGTGAAAACAAGCAACAATCGCATTTTGTTCGAAGTTGTTTTGTGTGGTGGGGGCGCGGCTTCTTTTCGCGCGCAAAACTTGAGAACCACTGAAGCAACATTGTTGTACAACAAATGCAACGTGCTCAGAGCAAGTCAATTTTATGTTTGTTGCCAAAGTCAACGGTGTATCCTAACCTAAAAGTCGAATTCGCTCTCTCACTGGTTGTTCAGAATCGCGTAAAATAAACATGAAAAAAAAAAAAACAGAGCAATTCGTTGTTTCGAACAAAACACGACTAATATTAACCGAGATATCACGCTTTGAACAATTCGGTTTATGACGTTATCCACCGCGGTAGCGACAGGTGACACCCTTGGTTTCTTCCACCACCCCTTCACCTGAGTTTCACGTTGAGTAACCAAGAAACCAAAACAGTCACAACTGCTGACCGAATTATTCAAAGCGCGATATCTTGATTACTACTGAACGTAGAAAACTGCTGCTAGGACAGTTCTTATTATTTTTAAGCAATCTACAAAAATTGAGCACACTGGAAAAAAACACATTGGATATAGAGTCCAGACTCTTGAAAACATTGACAAGAACAAATACTCTTGATTCAATCAGATTTAAGCTTAAATCAAGAACCAAGCCTCTGAATTTAAGCGGATTTCGTTTTAATTCAAGCAAAATGCCGATTGAATCAAGAGTATTTGTTCTTGTCAATGTTTTCAAGAGTCTGGACTCTAGATCCAATGTGTTTTTTTTTCCAGTGTACTAAAACACGATTTTCTCATCAGCGCAACTGACCCATTCTACAGTTTTTGCAGGTAGTTTTCTCAAAATAAGAAAAAACTACCTAAGAGGTTTTTACACGAGCAGATTTAGTTGCTTTTACCACTTATTTTCTTTCAGACAAGATAAGAAGGACCCCAACAGAATTTCCGTAGGAGTGAATGGATCGAGGAGAGGGTCTCAGTTTTCCGGACGGTTCTACTCGCGAGTTCTGACAGGGCAATTAGTCGGCTTGTCCTTGAGAGCATTTCGACGGGGGAAAGAATACGGAGGAGCGGGCCCCCGTTTTTTGAGCCATCACTCGCGTCAGACCCTGACAGGGCTCGTGATGGTGCGGTTGCCGACCCCGCGGATCCCTCGAGGAAAAATCGAAAGCGATTAAAAGATAAACGGAGCGTCCCGAGGGATCCCTAACGAGCACCGTCGGGCCCCGACTCTGATTTCCGCGGGCCAAACTCGTGAAATTCAATTATGTACCCGCGTTGCATGACTTCAAGATCAAGAACCGCGGTCAGTTCCTCGTTTCTTGGTCGAAAGAACGTAATAGACCGTATTCGATGACGGTTCGATGTATCGTTTGGTTCAAAACGATAGAACCTAACCTCAAACCAGTCTGTGAGGACTTAAGTTGGAAAAGCTGAAAATGAGAAATTTCCAGACAATTTCACTTTGCATTGGCATTTGTTACTCAAAAGATTAAGAAAGCTGTTACAAAAGACGCGTTCTCTCAGATTTCTGAATTTACTTTTGAGGCTATGTTTATGTTTTGAACCAATCGATATCGATACAATCTCACCCGTTTGATGTATCGAATACGATCTACATCGTTCCCACTCACATCGGGTCTGGGTTCATTTTCCGATTGCCGAGTCATCAAAATCCTTCAATTGACACTATAGGCAATTTCACCTGCGCAGGAGTGCGATGTTTTGTATCATCCAACAATAGAGTATTTGCAGGTACCTGAAATTTGATGAATTTTGTATTTGAGTGGAAACTACTGAGTGAACTGAACACGAGGATACCCTTGGTTCATGAATTGAACAATTATTGGAGAACATATGGAAAATTAATCTAATCTGCTAAAATGTATGTTTTTAAATGGGTTATGCCGCCAGATGACGTCACTAGGCGGTGCATTTTCTCACTTTTAAATCTATTTTCATACTATTTCCCATATCAGAAAAAAAAATTGTAAAAAATACTGTGAAATCACCTCTTTAAATACTTTCAGATGAAGCAATAAAAAAATTGGCCTCCGGCCAATTTATGCGCGGCGCAAGCGCGTTGTTACTCCTAGGCCATCGATATTTAACTATCAATACGAAAGACAAAAATCGAAAGGACTTAAATGCGCAAATAAATAAAAGTATTTCCGCGCGAAAGGGTAAGGAAGAGAGTGTTTCAAGAAAAGGCGCTTAGCGATCGGGTCCCGAGCTTTATTTAAGTACAGAGCTTCCGGACTCGCGGGCCTTTTTTAAGACCAACTGAAAACATCGCGATAGTGCTTCAGATTTGTCCACGTGCTTGCTACCCCTCGGCTAACGTTTTCCTCCGCTCGCTTAACAAAGTCTTTTCTTACCCTGATCAAAATTTATGGTCGACCATAATGATCCGGCGACGGAAAAGCAAACTTCCCCTTACGATACATTTTGCCCAAGCTCAGGCTCTGAGAATTTTGGTTGCGAAGTGTGGACCGATCAAGAAATGCTGTTGCGTTTGTCGGCCGTTCCGAATCAAATATATTGGCATTTCTACACAGGGTTCATGACAGCCTCTAAAACGCAAAATTAAGGACTTTCAAGACTTTGTGAGTGGTTCTAAAAAGTAAAATCTAGGAGTTTCAACGTACTCTCAAGACCTTCGGAGAAGTGTTCCAGTGCTTTCAAAGATATGTGCGAAACAGCATCTAACGGCATCTAAAAATGCTTTAAATATATAAGTTCTCTCTTGCTGTGCAATTATGTTCTCTTGTCGATAAGTAAAGAAGCAAACTTATGACATAAGATCAGTGCTACTTGACGCATTTGTGAGGAACAAGGGCAGCGCAAGTAGAAGAGACTAGCAGTAGTGTCACTAACTCTTCGATTAATATTCAAAATTCATGCCGAAATTTAGTCTTTTACACAAAAACCACTCTGTCCTCGTACATTCACAAACATCTTTACGAAGTAAAAACGTAATCTCCAGTAAAAACTTCACCGTGGATGTTCCGCGATAAATCATGATGAGACACAGAAAAACGCCTCAGGAATTTCATCTTATACGTCATAAAGTATATGAAACATAACATCAGAGCTGCATTTAGCTCACT